CTGCTCCGCGCTCTGCTGCTCGTGGCGCTGCTGGGTCCCGCCGCCTGCTTTTCTTCGTCCTTCTACAGCCCCGGCGAGCCGCGGAGCAGCGTGCGAGTGCTGTGCGGCTCCAACTGGAGCCTGGTGTTGCAGGGCCAGTGGATGTTGGAGTTGTGAGTAGCGGCCGCTTTCCCGCCCGCCTCGGAGGCAGCGTGGCCGGGGGGGCGAGGGGAGTTCCCTGCGGGCATGGCCAGTGCCTCCAGCCCCGCTGTGGGGACGAGGGGGCCAGGCCGGCCTTCCCGCCCTGCGGGAGGGGCCGTGCAGCTTCCCCACGCCGGCAGTGGCTGCCCGGGCACGGCGAGAGGGAGCGGCGGGCGGTGCCTGGTGCCCGCCCTCACAGCCCGGTCCGCGGGCATGGCCGGGCAGAACCCGCCGGTTCCCGGCTGTGTGGGCACAGAGTGCCCAAGGTTAAACGGGTCACTCCAGACAGAGGGGAATGAGGGATATGGAATGAAGGACATGGAAGTGTCGGAGCGAGCCCAGAGCAGGCCACCGAGTTAATCAGGGGAATGGAGCTTCTCTTCTTTGAGGAAAGGTTGAGAGAATTAGGGTTGTTCACCCTGGAAAAGAGGAGGCTCTGGGTAACCTAACTGGGGCCTTCCAGTACCTGAAAGGATTTTACAGCGAAGATGGGGAAAGACTGTTTACAAGAGCTATGACAGACCAAGGGGGAGCACATTCAGACTAACAGATAGTTGGGTTAAATTGGGTATTGGGGAAGAAGTTCTGTACTGTGGGGATGGTGAGGCCTGGCACAGGTTGCCCGGAGAAGCTGTGGGTGCCCCTGGATCCCTGGAAGCGTCCAAGGCCGAGTTGAACAGGGGCCTGGAGCACCCTGGGACAGTGGAAGGTGTCCCTGCCCATGGCACGGGGTTGGCACTGGATGGGTGCCCGGGTCCCCTTCCAGCCCCAAGCATTCCCCATCCTGTGAAGCAGCTGTCCCTCAGGTTCTCATCCGAGTGCCCAAGGTTAAAAGGGAACAGTGTCCAGCACTGCCCCTTGCCCTTCTCCCACCGGGGACTGGCGATGGGTTCTGTGTGAGCTCCAGGAGGGCTGAATTCAGTAGGGAACATGTAGCAGGAGTGGACTTCCAAAGCAGGATTACATAATATCCCAGCCTTGAGCTCGGAGTTCTCATTCAAGTGAGATGCATCAGATTTCATTAACTTCTGCCTGACTGCACTGGAGTGGTGACTGTGCTTGGGATGTGACACAGATCTTGAAATGCATGTGACTTTATTTTTGGTGGAGCTTCGCTCACCTGCGTGTATTTAGAAGGGGGAAAGGCGCTTGAGGTTTTTTTTTAAGACAGCAATGAATAAAAAAGTAGTTTAAGTAGGCAGTACAGCCACGTGGTACCTGTGGGCTGTGCGGCTATAAAATAGGATTTTATTGTGGCATGTGTGCTACTCTGTGGAAGTGCTTGAGTTTAAAGCAGTTTGAACATCTGAACTCGTGCTAACTCCTAAATACTTAACAAGCTATTAAAGTTGTGGCTTGCCCTTGGATTTGTTTTATCTCCAGTCTCTTGTTAGCGAGGTGGAATATCACCTGGGCTTTAGTGCTCAGGATCCTAGTCCACCCTGGTGTTAATCAGTGCATATGTGGTTAATAGGTTAATCAGGAATACCACGTGAATAGGTGGTAACGATCTGAAAACACCTGATAGTGACCCAGGGATGCCAACTGTTGTGGTTGAGGATTCAGAATGGGTTTTGTGTCTCTCTTCATTTATTGGGATCTAAAAGGTGGAGGAAAAAAGAAATTTGTTTTAAATTGGAGTTTTTTTCACTTAGTCCAACGTGGAAGCAATTGTATGGAAGTTACTGATTCACACACAGGTTGGTGAGTTTCAAGGAGGAAGGTTATCTATGGTGACTCAAAGTTTTTATTTCTAAAAGAAAATATTTAAATAACTAGTGGTGCATGCCTCTGAAGAAGACAAAAGAGGAACTGACTGAAATCAGAAGTGGTTGGGGTGGCAAACAATTAGAATCCTTTGGAAGCCTTTACTTCAATTGAAGAATTGGTGTTTGGTTTGGAGTGAGAGGTTGCTGAGAATAGCAATGGTGGCAGCGTTAGCTTTAGTGTTAGCTGGGCATGGTACGTGTTGGTGCACTGCTTAAATCAGAGTCTAATTCATGTTAATCGGTGTTTGATGTGTGAAAGATCCTCGGCTCTCCACGCTATTTCCTGTGGTTCATTACTGGTGCTTTCTGCTTTTCTCCTGAGGAGGAGCCTTTCTCTTTAATGAGGGTGCAAACTCGGTGCTGCCGGTGTGGAATTAGCGGGAGCTGGAGCTCTAGGACTGGTTTTGTGAATGTTTCCCCGGCTGGATCCGGTCCGGGATTTTTCCCCATGCGCTTCCCGGGGGAAATCTGATCCGGGTTTCCTCCCCATCCCTGCTCCGGGTCCTCATCGTCAAAATATCTTTAAGAGAAGGGGGGAAAGTCGGTTTTGGAATTGAAGCTGGGGCAGGCAGCATCTTTCAGCCAGTGAGTTTTTCCATGGGCAGCAGCTGTGTCCCTCTTGCCTAAATATTCCTTATTGGGCTTGTGGCAGAAACTCCAGGCGGGAATTCTCAGCCCAAGTGGGGAGAACAGCAAACACAGCCTAATCCAGTTCTTGCAGCAGTTTGCGTTCTGATGGCTTTTGGCTTCTGCTGGTTTTTATCTGGTTTAGAGCCAGTGATCCACACAGGAGTCCTGAGTGTCAGTCCATGCATTCCTTCCATGCTGTCTCAGGCTGGCTGGCAGTGCTGCAGTAATGTCCATTACCACCTCATTTGTTTGAAGAACCTCCGATTTATTTACAACACCTTTGTTTTCCAAGAAGTACTTCTTTTAAATGCAAATGTTACTATAGCATCTTCATGAAAAAAAAAAGTTTTTTCATCAGCTGCCCTTCTGATGCCTCCTGCTGTGGTAAGAACAGGTACAGCTGCTGCTTAATGTCAGTTTTCCTATTTGGGAAAGTGGAAAATCACTGTGTAGTTCCACTTTTTTGTTCTTCCCAGGTGCATAAATAGAGAAACTTAGGTTTGCAATTACTTGTGTGTGGCATCTGTAGCAGAAATAGGATTTTTCTTCCTTCATTCCCCCTAGCTGAGGTGTGTGTGTACTCGGCTGGCTTTTTGTAAATATTTTGTTATTCATAGCTGGGAAAATTGCAGGCCCTGGAAGCGCTGCTGCATTTTATTGATAAAAATGTTTTGGAGAAGGTTCTGTAACTGCCAGACATTGCAACATTTTTTGGACGTTGTTGCTATCACAGCACACAGGTCTGGGCTGGAGTGCTGTGTGTGTGATGCTGGAATGAGCTGTGTTTTAAAAGTTTCCCTCTTTCTGTAGCTGTGAGATAATGATTCATTAATATGATGGGTTTTCTTTTTGTCTTTAATATTGTGTCTGTCTAGAACACAGAAAACTAATTTCTGGTCTGCTTACTTAAAAGTGCGTTTTGCATTTGTAAACCAAACTTGTTCTAAACTTGATTTATCTTAATTTAACATCCTCTTCTTTTTGAAGTAAATTAAAACAAGCAAACAGAAAAACCCAACCTATCAATGAACTTGTTGTCTTCATGCCTCTGGTTGCAAAAGAAACTGTTTATGCTCTTGGTGCATCTGCAGTACTTCATGTGCTTGTTCCCACGTCGGGTATTAAATGTTGTTTTGGCTCCCCTTTGTTTCAGCACAGACCAATTGCTGTGTGCACCTGAAAAACAATGTCTTCATTGTCCATTTCAGTTCCAGCCAGGTGAAAAGCAGGAGACCAGTTAATAGTCGTGTTTCTAAGGCTTATTATTCTTACAGTGTAGTACTTCTTATTTTTTCCCTGTCACTTATCATGAAACATTGCCATGCTGTCTGTGTGGCCGGTTGCTTGCCAGGGTTCAGCCTCCCACCAGCACCTCTAGTCTGTAGCTTCAAGGGAGTGTGCTAAAAATGAAATGGAGTGTTTTGGCATGTGGATGGTTTAATCAGTTGCCTTGAAGTACTTTGTGTAAATAAAATCCCAAACGATGCGCTAAATATTTAACAATTGCTGTCAGTTAAGGATTCAACAACGCTGAGAATTTTCTGTCACTTAAGGGTGTCTAGTCTTTTACTTCTTGTTAGCATCCAGGCTTTTCTTTGTCCTATTCTTAAATACCCAGCAACCCAAACCCCAATAAAAGCAAAAAAAACCAGGGGGAATGAAAATCAAGTTATCAAAACTCTGTTTTGGTTTTGAAGCCTCTGCAGCGCTGCTGGCTGAGTCCAGAGGAAGTGACCAAACATTTTATTTAATAACTGAACACATAGCTGAGTGCTGTGCAGGGCATTGGCTGAACAAAAACTGCAAAACTGGGATGCTGAAATATACTTTGTAGCAGAAACAAAACCGGTGCAGAAGGAGACCTAAAAATTTATAGAATGATGTAACTTAATCTGCTGAAGCTCTAGAATAATTAGCATAATTTTTCATTGATTGATTTGCTTTCTATTTTAAAAATAATTTCTTCTTTTTTTAAAAAAAGCCTTGTCTGGTTTGGAGGGGTTTGGCACTTGGCAGGAAGCTCCCTGACAGCTTCCAGGGTTGTGTTGTGGTGATACAGATCCACAGGGGTAAATGACAGGGACCAACTTCTGTATCTTTGGCTGCCACCTGCTCACTTGGAAAGTCATTAAAACCACACAGTTGCTCTGGAGCTTTTCTTTTGTTGGCATTACAAAGCTGCCAATCCTGCCCCAACACCTAGCTGTGTTTGGAATTGTCTTTTTTTTTCCCCATTTTGTATGCTTGTGAGATCTGTAGCAATAAAGCAAAACTATTTAAAACAATAAAGGTAAGAATTTAATTCTGATACCGCTTTTACCATTCTGTTGGGTATTGTCCCCACATTTTTACACTTATTAAAGTAGCATTCCCAATATGAGCTCCATCAAGCAGCTTGGTTTAAGGAAGTTTTGCTGTTTTCTGTTCAGCAAATCCTCTCATGCTGATATCCATGAGCTGTTTTTCCTTTCTCCTGGATTTGTGCAGCTTGGTGAAATTGCCATTCGAGCCAAGTGTGGAATGGCACTCAAGGTTACATCTGGTATTGTTGGTCATGGTAGTGAGAAGGCAGATAGAGAGTCAGTTAAATGTACTTGAAAAGGAGTGAAATAGTGAATTCAGTAGCCAGGCAGGTGCAAGCAGAGAGAGAAGAGGCTCAGAGCTGGAAAATATCAGTACATCTTAGCCAAGTCTTTGTGCTTGCTGATCCACTGGGGGCGATAGGCAGAGTGGCACCTTTGCTCAAACTGGTTTCACTTGACTGGGTTTTGTTGTACTGCCTCAGTGAAGTTGTTGGTATTTGAAAGCCAAAGGTTATTTTGTGCTTTAGATCAGAGATAAATAGAAGTTAAAAGCAAAGCCTGAGTCTGAAAGCTTCAAACTTTGCTTTTCAATTGCTTTGTTTATGCCCTCTGCCAAAAGCTTTCGGTATTGTAGTGGAGTAGGAGAAAACACCTGGATGCTTGGGAATAGTGGCTTTAGTCTGCTGAGGTCAATTGTTGCTGCAGTGATGGATGTTTGCTGCCTTTTTTAAGGAGGGCTGGCCACGTGTGAGAGCATTTCAGCTGTAAAACTCTGCTGTGGAAGAGCTCTGGAAGCATCAGCAGTGAGGTGTGTGTTGAGGAATGTGCAGTACCTGCTCGCAGTGAATAGTTTGGCAGTGTGTCCCTTGTAGCTGTGATGGAGATCAGCAAATTGCCTGTTCATGTGTAACAGGCTACTGAAAACTTTCTTTCCTTAACAGAGTGCCCGAGACCTGATTTAAATTCCAGAAGGCTTTGGTTTTTGACTTGGAGAGCCTGTTTTCTTGTCACACCTTTTGCACTGTGCCTGCAGGTTGGCAGAGCTACCCCCTTGTGCCCAGGGATGAGCAATGGGAGTGACAGCCCAAAATTTGGTGCTGTTGACCAAGTGCTCATTGTTTCCTGGCCTGCCTGGGGTATGGCAGAAGACATTTGGGTACTTCTGCTTTTGCCCAAGACCTGCTCTTGCATTTTGTGCCTTGAAATGTAACAAAGACTGGTTCCACAGCAGACATGAGGGTCTGTTTCCCTGCTCCTACAGATGATGGTTTTTTTCTATGAATTTAAGAATGGTAGTTGTACCATAACTTCTGTCGAAATACAAGTCTGCCACAGTTCGAAAAACCCTGTTGAAATCAAGTACTTCCCTCAGTGTCCTTTGGGGTGCAGAAAGTTTTTGAAACTTTTGATAAGATGTCCGAAGTGTGTGAGGTATTTTACTGTTTAGTAACTTACCTCCCCTTACACTTACTCTTCCAGTATTTTAAGACTGGGGAAGAGACGCAATAAAGCTTTGGTAATGTAGTTTATTTGTTATATCCAGGGGGCAGGCATGGATTCCTTGATGCTGCACCACAAATGCAGACACGAAAGCTTCAGGAAGGTGAGGGTGTTGAGGTAAACAGCAGTGGGAACTCTGGCAGAAATCTGTTACAAGTTCTCTCTTGAACGTGTGGGGACAGGCTGTTTCCTGGCTGGCAGGAATTGGATGGGTAATTTCAGGAATGGAAAGCAAATATTTATTCCTGGTTATCTGTGCCAGTGTTCAGCTGGAGTGGCTGGATCTTGCAGCATTATATGGAACTATTGCCATCCCATGTCCAGTACTGATACTAAAAATTAGACAGCCAACAACCACAGCTTTTTGTGAAGTTCACTGTTAGGGCCTGTCACTGCTGAGCTGTGACATGGGTAGATTTTCATGCTGCTTTGATCTAAAGGAAGTATTTTCAATCATATAAGTGTTAGTTGTGTATTGAATATTCCACTTCATTCAGGAGAAATGCTCATGCATGTCAAATATAAATATAAGTTTTGATGGAGTCAAAATTTCTATTCCAAAATCAGATAAAAAAGGCTAAATGATGTATTCATTTTGAAAATCTCATGGTGTGTATTTGAGACATCTGGAGAAGCTGGATTTAGAAAACAGTCAAGCTTCTGTTTCATTTTAGATCAACACCAGCTGCATTATCTGATGGATGTTAGCAGGTTCTTATTTATCAGTCAAGCTTGTATAATGAAATAATCCTGTTTGTAAAGTACAGTACCTGCCAGACTGTTATTAAAAGCTCTCTCTGGGCCAGCAGCACAATGGAGAGCATTGCTGCATGTGAGACTTGTTTCCAGCATCTTTTGGGAAGATACTGAAGGGCTGTCTCTTGGCAGGATAAGATTTATGTCCTTTTTGCAGATGCTTTCACACAGAGTGATGTTGACTTAAAAAGACAAGATAGAAGTTTTCACAGTTAAATAAAACTAGCATTTTTAATTTGTGTTCTTTAAACTGCCAAGTGACAAGATTGCCTTTTTTAAATACAGGAGTTTAAAAACTACCCCAAGGCACGCAGAGTAAATTTAATTCCACCTCTTCTGTGAGAAATAACCTGTTTTACATGAAGCTTTATTGATATGAAACCTCTGGGGGTGGCAGGGGATGTCTCTGTCTGCAGCCAGTAGGGAAGTAAGCATTCCTGAGAGCCAGAGAACAGGCATTGCCAGTCCCTGGGTCACACAGCAGGGGTGGCAGATGAACCAAAGGAGTGGAGAACCTTGGGCAAGTTCCTAGGGATGGTTCTGTGCTCAGCATCTTGGACTCTGCCCAGGAGGGAATGTGTTCCTGTGCTTTGCAATGGATGGGGGAGCGTGGTGGCATCTGTGGAGCCCTGTGACCAGGAGAGTGTCCCCAGACTCACTGCTTTCATGGTGGCATCTGTGGAGCCCTGTGATCAGGAGAGTGTCCCCAGACTCCCACTGCTTTTGCTGCCAGAATTCCTGCCCTGGTAAATCAGATTAGAGCCTGTAAAGGTATCTCCTCATTGGTAAAAGGCTGAGTCTGTGCATGGGCAGCTCAGTCTGTACCTCCCAGTCCTGGTTCCCTGCACAGGTTTCATGCAGACTTGGCCAACCAAGTTGGGCTAAAATGCAGAAAGGTGGCAAAAGGCATTTTACTATCAATTTTATCTCATCTTATCCGTTATATTAGCTGCTCTGTTTCCAGATTGATATTCCCAATAGGTGCAAAATTGGTTTAATTCTTCTGATTGAGAGTGTAGAAAATTCAGCTCTTGAAAAGAGCACTCCTATGTTTCTGAAATGAATCCTGGGTAAAAACAGGATGATAAGTATGAGCAGCAGGAGTTTGATGTGTGCTCTTTTTAAGTCTCTCATGGCTGCTATCAAAAAGGGCATGTTGTGATGTATGGAGTAGTGGGTTAAGGCAAATGCAATTTCAGGAAGTTCTGAGGTGTGGGAAATCAATACCAAATGTTGTGATGAAGGATGCTACTTCAAAGGACAGCCTTGCTTCAATAATTCAGATAGCTGCCATGGAAATGTATTTTATTTCCTATGTAAATAGAATAAATCACAAGTGGTGAGGAGTTTGGATATGAATTTCTCAAATCTGATTTGTTCTAATAACATGGGGAGGAGCATAGGGATTGATAAAAAAACTTTGTTTTATTCAGTAGACTTGATGAAGAGAAAGTGTGGGTTTTTCCTTTGTGCCTGGCACGTTTGTACATCCTCTGTATGATAAATCAGTTTGCATGTGTGTAATGGCAGAGTATGCAATCTTTCCCTGCCTTCCCCTCAGTTACGCCCCTTGGTGCCCGGCCTGTCGGCAGCTGGAGGCCACCTGGGAGAGCTTTGCCAAGGAGAGCGAGCGGCTCGGCATCACCGTCGGCAAGGTGGATGTCACTCAGGAGCCAGGTACTGCATCCAGCTGAGTGCCTCATAGCAGGATTATTCAGCACAACCACCATTTACTGTTTAATCAGGCTTCCAAGTCACAATAGTGTTCTACACACTTTGTTTCTCTGTACAGTTTGTATTTCTGAGCTGAAGTTTGTAAACTCAATTTGAAGGATTAAAGAATTGGGAGAGTGATTTGGCTTAATACTGACTTACAAGAGGCTTATTCTCTATTTTAATCTTCTGCACTGGAAGCTGTTGCCTGTCTCATTCCTCCAACCTGTCTGCAGAAGATCCCAGCTCTGTAGCTTCCCATTAGGAGAATTTCAGGGTGTGGTAGAGCAAGCCTGCTTTAATGAAGTTACTGTTTCCAACATGTTGCTGGTTTATTGACTGCTTTAATTGTGGCAGTGCTTTATATTACAGATGTTATTGCTGTTTCCTATTGGTGATGCACATATGCAAATATGTTTATAAAATCCCTTCCCTAACTATTCACAGGAGCATGAGTGCAATCTAATTTATTCCTTTGGTGACTCCCTTCAGAGTTTTGAGTGTGTCTTTGTACAAGCAATATTAATATTGTATAAACCTCTGTGTCTCCTGGGAATGCTTCATGCTTGTTTGGGCTTTAAGGGGATAAAGGAGTTTATCAGCAGTATCAAAAGACTGATAGATGAGATGTTATTAGGAAAAAAAAAGCCAGACTTTACTGATTTTTTTCTTTGCTTTTGCTTTATAAAGTGTGGGAAAAATGTTTATTACTTGAATACATGCTGAACAGATTTACTGTGTCAAAACCTTGTCTCAGAATCGGCAATCTAAATTGACAAGACAATGCCAGCTGCTCTAGACCCTGTGTAGGTTCATGTCTTGTTAAAAGCTCACAAGCATAGGAAAAATCTGGTATCAAAAAGCTGCATATACTAATAATTGTGTAGTGTAATAAACAGATGAGTTTTAATATTGCGTTGTTTAAATACATGTAAACTTAATACTTGGATTTCTAATGCTGCTGGGAGTCCCGACCCCTAAGCATGAATTTCTTCTGAGTCAAAGGCCTGACCAAAACGATGAATTTGTACCAAAGCTCATGTAATAAACCTCCAACATCCAGCTCAGCCCTGGGAGCTGCAGGCACTTCTAGAAGTAAGGAATGCTCAAACTGGAAAACAAACATTTATTACGTGTTTGACCTTTGGTGCTGATGTAATTTGGAAGATATGAGTTTCTATGGAGCTCTCCAAAGTTACTGAGGTATTTTTACTGTGGGCTTTGCATCAGCCTTTCAGTTGTGTTTAAGTGCTCTGTCTCCTTTCTTGATTGCACAATGGTACTTTAATTAGTGTTAGTTATGTAACCCCTTCATTGAATTGAAAGTAGTCAAAATGTGTTAAATTAGGGGAAAACCACGAGATGAGTGCAGAGTTACATAAAATTGCACTTCCCAAAGTGGCAGGAGAAAGTGGCCATTCATGGTGCTTAATTGCAGGAGATGCCTGAAGAATGAATCCACCAGAGTCTTAATGGCTTCACAGCAGCTTTCAGTCCTTGATGTTCCAGCCTTGAAGTGCTTCCTCTTGCCTCATCTTCTGCATTGAAACATTCAGTGTGGAACAAGCACATAGTGGAGATGCTTCTGGACCCTTAAATTCTGCATATTTGTGGTGCCTTTTCTAAGCTCCTGATCACAACACTTATCTGTCAATTACGACAAGACTTCTGGATCTTCTGTGTCTTCTTTTAGTAGTTGCTGGCTGAAAGCAGCTAGAGTTTTAGACGACATCTCTATTCTTTGTACATTTTCAGAGATGTGCATACCTCTGAAATACCAAAGATAAAAGGGTTTTTGAATTTTTGATTAACTGCTGGTTTCATAGTGGATGTCAGTTTCTGATTTGCAGATGCTTAACTGTAGCCAATTCAAGATTGTATTCAACAGGCACCAAAACAGTTTAATGTTTCTTTAAGTTTTGTAGCTGATTCACATCTAGTTTTACCAATCTAGGGAGGTGCCTTAGATAACCAGCAAACCTCCACCAAAAATACTGGGGGAGCTTAGATGCATTTCATAACTATTAGATTTTAGAGTTGCTTCTGAGGTGTTCACTCTAGGATAGGCCACAGGTGAGAGGTTTGAGCTGTTATATTTCCTCTGCCTGAGTGGCATTTGTATGAACTTCAGAAAGCCTGTCAGTGTTCCCATGACTTTCTCTGTTGCTAAGCTAATTATGTTCTTTGTGTCTCTCCACCCACTTTTCCTCGTGCAGCTGTGCTGTCTGCTTTATTAATTCTGCTGCTACACTTGTGGGTTTGTTTGCTTTATATCTCCCTGTGCTGGCACAACTTTTAGCTGTTTCAGAAAGTTTTTCATCACCCTGCCTCTTGTAGCAATGCAGGCAGAGAGCTCAAAAGCTGAAGTAAAGAAGCTTTCCTTTCTGGAGGTTTAAAGATCATTTGCTTTACATGTCTTCAAACAAAATACTGAACAAGAAAAAAAGCCATAACTCTTTTTTTGTCTATTCCATAGAGGCATTCACACTGAGGGAAACATTACCAGTGAAACTTGTAAAAATACCTGGCTTATTTCAGTGTGGCTCATCTTTGTCTCTAAAGGCAGAAACCCTCTTGCTACAATACTTTTCCATGGCTAATTCTGTTGCCTAGAGCTGTTTGCTTTATTGAAGGCTGCATAAGGCCTTCATTTCCCAGAAGATTTTCACAGACTTTTCTAAAAGGCAAAGCTAAATAACCATACTCTTTACACTGGTACTTTATATGAATTACTGCCTATAGGAATTGAGCCCTCTCTGATGGACTCTGAGTGCATCTAATGCTGGGCTGGTCCAAAACTTCAGCTGTGTGCAAATACTGGGGAGACAAACCCATTGATGAAGGAAATTGCCTCCCAGTAAACATCCTTCAAGCTAAATGTTCTTCCTTCATTTATAACCAATATTCAGCATCTGTTGCTGTTTGTGGCATATCTGAAGACAAACTGTTAACCTGTATTTACAAAACAGTGGTGAAAGCTGTGCAGCCTGCTCTAAAATACAGATATGTTGCTGTTTATAGATAAGTCAGAATGCTGAGAAATTTCAGTGTTACTGAACTGTTTGTGTGGTTTTCTTCCCTTTCTAGGCTTGAGTGGTCGTTTCTTTGTCACAACACTTCCTACAATTTACCAGTAAGTGTGTCATACTGGGAACTGCAGCTGTTGTCATTTGATTTCATCTATAACTGAAAAGTAGGGGGAAATGAAGGAATAGTGACTTTCAATTTCAGCTCAGTTTGCTGTAGCTTTGATTGCATGATGAAATTGTCATGTGAGGCTTTTCTTTAGTTTAAATGACTTTACTAAGTTTCCCTGTTCTCCATACTATTAAAAACGGAGCAGAGAAAACATTTGCTCTATCTCTTCTCTAATAAGGTGATGCCATCCTTAAAATACTGAACCCTTCATTAAGTCAGAGTACTCTGAGTCGTGCAGATACACAAACAAATACATGTTGTATTGCACTAAAGAGTTTTAGTTGTTGTTTTGCACTGGGTTTTGTATTGTGCACTGAATAGTATGTTTGGATCCTTTTGGGATTTTCCTCTTATCACATGGACTTCCTCCCCCTGCCCTAAGCCTCAGTGATAGTGGTTTGTCAAATACATTTGTTTGTGCACTTTTAATTCTGACTTGTATTTGGAAATGGTTTGGTTGTTAACCTCACATGCTTTGTGTATTTGCTGTAGTACCAGTGAATATTTAGGAAAAATAGCAGTTTTATAAATGGCAGAACCCCATGCTGTTTAAAACCTGAGGTTTTTCCATGCTGGATTACAGTTCCCAACCCCTCACTCTGAGCCAGTGAGGTCTGTGATGTCTGTGGGGTTTTGGGTGGGTTTTTCCCCCGCAGTCTGGGGCTGTGTGTGCTGATGGGGTTTGTTTTGCAGTGCCAACGATGGAGTGTTTCGCAGATACCGTGGCTCCCGGACCCTGGAAGATCTCCAAGGCTACATCTTGGAGAAGAAATGGGAAGCTGTGGAGCCTGTAGCAGGATGGAAGTCTCCATCTTCTATAGTGTAACACTTGGTTTTTGTTAACAAAAACAATGCTTTATATCTCATTATTCACTGAGGGTCCTGAGTTGACAGTTTAAAGACAAAAGGCCTTTATTCCTTAGACTTGGAGAAGCCATCAGTATTGACAGCCTGATTCCCAGCTTCTCACCTATAAAGGCAGCTTATTTTCTGTGTTTGCTTTTGTTTGTGCCTGCTGGGGCTTGTTTATGTCATCTTTGAAAAGAGATTAAAAGAAAAAATTCAGCCACTGATCATTATGTAAAGTGGCATTTCTCATATCTGCCGAGTCCTGGAATCAAGTGTGTGTTTATGTAAATTACTGCTTCGTGACTTCTGGCTACTGGTACTTCAGCTTTGAGGGTTTCTTGTTTATTTCTTTACAAGAGGGACTTTTGTCTCCCTTTGGAATAGCAAACAGTGTAGTGCTTACAGGATGTATAAGAATTTGTTTTTAGAGAGAGGGATTTGCTTAGAAATATTGTAGAAAGCTTGCATGACACAAAGGATGAACCCAAGATGTGAGCGGCCTGCAGTGCATAATGGCTTCAGCCAGAATGAATAAATTCACATCAGAGATCCAGAGAGGATCCTTATTTATTGTGTGGGAAGGAAGAGGAGCTGTAGGATGTTTAGGGATGGGGAGAGGAGCTGCAGGGCTGCTGTCAACCTGTCCTTTCATTTCCTTGTGTTCCAGGATGCATGGCATGGCAGGGCTGTTTCACTTCTCGGGGTGGATCAGGGTAAGTAACTGTGTGCTCTTTTCCATACTCCTTTTTATGCTTAATAATCATATGTTCAAAAGTCAATACGTAACTGAATATTTTTATTATCATTTTATGGGAGTTGCTTAGTGTGTTGCACAGGAGAAGGGAGGACAGGGGTTTTTTAGTAATTTCTGAGTCTGGGGTTCAAACTGGCAATACCACTTGTGTAGGAACATGATGAATTTGGATAATAGAGTAATTACCAGAAGTAAAGGAGAAATGCTTAGCTACACTCATGTGTGCTTTAAAATATTAAAGCATATTTTACACTAAAATATTTAAAGATGCTCTCATTTGGGAACTATCCAAGTTTTTCATGGCATCCAAATACTGAGAATTTTCAGATTCTGGTCAGGAAACATCCTGGTAAAACCTTTGACTGTCAGTGAGATTGAGAGACTGTATTTGATTGCAGCAAAATATGTTACTATTGTAACACGTGCTTCAAGAAAGAAATGTAGGTGAGAGTTGGAACAAGTTTGTATCCCTTCTACAAAGTACCAAACTAACATAGAATCAAGCAGAGCTCTCAGTTGTGTATCTTTTGATTCTTTCACTGGATAATATTTACTTTTTATAGCCTTCTGATGTTTCTCTCCCATGGTTGCTCTGAAGTGGTGTTTTTTCTCTGTAGTCTCCTTCCTGAAAAATTAACTGTCCTGGGAAGAAACCTCTAATTTGTGTTCCACTTACATGCATATTTCAGGTGTACATTTCCTCACTCCTCCTGCTCTGCTGTCTTTGCTTAGGCCTTAACAAATATCAAAAGATGTTCTGACATTTAAAAAGACGACTCTGGAATTTTTGTGTTTAAACTGCTGTAAATGTTGGTTGTGGTTTGTTTTGCAAGAGATTTAATGTCATAATTGACCTCCTACCAGCTCACTGACTCCATGTGCTGCTTGACTCAGCCAGTTGAATTTGTAGGTTTGAGGAACAGACCAAAGATTGAAAGAAATCTTAATACTGTATTTGGGTTATTATATTTAAATTTAGAAGTGAAATAATTTATTTACTGTATGCTTAGAGTGTGTGGCTCCTTTTAAGACCTAAAAATTTTAAGTAAGAGTTGAATGGTTTGATTTTAGTTAATGAATAGGTGCCACATAAGGATGAAGGATGTTGTGATACTTTTCTGCAAAGCTCCTCATCCATCCATCTGCAGGGAAGGTTGTGTGTGACATCTGTAATGCTAATTGTCTTAGGGAGAAGGAATTGTGCATCCTCTGCTTAAAAAGCCTTTTCATGTCAACAAATCAGTAAAAACCCCCAAGATTTAATGGTGTCAGAAGGGGAAGATTTCAGTGTAAATACTGTTAAATGAAAGCTCTTAATCAGACAGCAATGCATGTAATGGTGTTGGCAGTAGAAATCCTAAGTGGTTTTAGGTATGAATTTATTTAAGTGTCTTGTTCTAATTTCCAGCAAATTCATAACTACCTCACTGGCACTCTTGGAGTTCATGTTTGGGTTTCCTATGCCATCTTCATCTTAGCTACCTTACTGATTGGCCTGCTCCTGGGTTTGGTAAGAAAACATGACTTTTTTTTTCTCAGTTAACTAAAACTCCTGCCACACTGTTACTCAAAATCAAAGGACAAAAATGTTGTTTAAGGCTTTGGAGATTTAGGGGTTTAGGTTTTTTCAGGTTAGTTGCCAGTTCCACAAGTGTGTTCTGCAACTGCAAGGGCAGTTCAAACAGTTCTGCTGGTAACTGGTTTAGCCTGCTGCTAGGTCACTGTTCCTTGTAGGATGTGTAAGAGTTGTTTCTGGGATATGGATCTCTGCCCTTCAACCCAAATAGCAGTGAAATAAAGAAAAATGATGTCAGTGTATTTCCCAGTACTTCTGGGACGTGATTTCAATGCAGTTGAAATCTGAATTTAGGCAAAACCATGTTTTATACTCAATGTGCATACAGAACACTTGTATACAGGCAAATGTTTTTGATTATTTAATTTCAACAGCTGCATTTTTCTGGATGGTAGATTTTCACCAGATGAGAGCAAAACAAGTTAGTATAGCTAGGAGCAAGTGAACATCATGTTTTAAAAGAAACTCTCCTTCTTACTCTTTCACTAAAAAAACCCCAACTGAAAAAGCTGAAAAAATGTGAAGTTAGTATCTTGGCTCTTTCCAAAAAGCTTTTCAATGATTGAAATATATTTCTTTCACATGGTGTCAGCTCTGTCTTTTTCTGTGCACTATTCTTAGCGTGTGACAGTGCGGCACAAATGTCTTCCTTGCATTTTGAGTTCTGCACAGGGCTGGTTAAATAATGAGCACAGAAGGTGGAACACACACCTGCACTGGAGAGCCAGAGGTAGGAATGGAATAACATCCCAAAATACAGGAAATCTTGACCAAGCTTTTTTTCATGAATTTTCAGAAAGTAAAAATTCTCAAACTGTGTTCTGAGTTGTTCTTCAGCTGTGAGCAGTGTCAGTACTGAATAAATTTAGCAAAGTAGGAGGCAGAAAATGGGTAGTAGAAGGCAGGGAATGCTGGTTAGTGCACACTGAAAATGCACTTTGTTCCATGTTTTTATTTAGCTCTTATCTCTAAGCAAGAGAACACAATTTTGTAAATTTGATTGTGTATATCTAAAAGGAATGAGTGCAAGGACTTTTGCAATTGCTAATAAATGCCATTTTTATTATTGCTAATGAATGCCTTTTTCCTTTCCACAGGTCCTGGTTTTGATTTCAGACTGCCTCTGCCCAGCCAAGTCAAAACACTTGGCTGAAACACCTGGTAAGAACTCTTAAAGAGGCTGAGGAGCTGTAGTTTCAGGTGTAAATTTGTAGGAGAAAGGGCAACACACTGTTCAGATCTTAGGTGTGAATCAGTAACCCAGGAGCCAAGTAAAATTGGTTTGTCTTAGGTTTGTAACTCAGTGGAATAAAGTGAAAGTCCATCTGTGCCTGACATGCAAGGAGAAGTAATGGAAGTGGAGGAGAAAGCTACTGAAGATTTAAGGAAATAACTGAGAAATAAGGAAAAGTTTTCAGTCACAGAACCACAGAACAGTTCAGGTCGGAAGGGACTTTAAGGATCAACTGGTTCCAATCCCAGTTGGAATAATAATTGTAATCCATTGTAATAATGTGATCAGTATTTCAGAGCGTGTCCCTGCAGCCCAGGAAGGCTTTGCTGGGGGAGTCAGTCTAACTGCAGTCTCTGCTTTGTTTAGAAGAAGCGATCAGCAAGGAGAACGCGGAGAACGCGGCGCTGGAGCAGCCAGACGAGGCCGCGCGGCTCTCTGCGGATGAGGCCGCCGACGTCCAAGATCTCTCCGATGGAGAAGATGCAGCAAACTCGAGTGCTGATGAGTCAGAGGAGGATTTAGCACTTGGAAAAGAATCAGGGGGAGAAGAAACGGAAGACTTAAGCGAGCAGCCGTTAGCTGAACCAGAGACTGAAAGCACAGTGAGGCAGCGCAAGAGTCAGGGCGCTGAGAAGGAACTATAGCTTCCCCTGTGGTGTCTCTTGCACACCTGGACCAAAGAAGTGTCAGACCCCTCCAGGGTCTGAAGCTGGAGCTTACACTTGATTTGTCGTTGGTGTTTACGCAAAGCTCTGCTCTGCCAGCAGGCTCCTCTTTTTTTAAGCTTAGTACTTGCTTACTTTCTTTGATAAGCACATTTGCTGTGTGTTGTGTGACCTTAGCTGTGACAATCAGAATCAGTGTCTTATCTGTTCCATGTCCTCAGAGAAAAAGGGGGTGTCAGCCTCAGTTCACCAGCTCTGAAATGATCATTGTGTGTGTGTCCCTCTAAGGACTGACCTGGGCAAATCAGGACTTTTAACTCCATGGTAGCTTGGCAGGATTGTGACTTTTCTGTCTGAATGTTGATTGTTCCCAAATGCCACAGAAGCACAGAGACAATTCACTAGTGAAAGGAGGCACTTTACTGGTCTTCTATCAGAAATGTTGTGTACCATGGGTTTGTTTTTATCACTTTCAGCTGAAGCACCTTTCTATTTGGTTTTGTTTTGGAAGTTGATCCTGCAGCTCACCCCCAGACGTGTTAGTTTTTGGTGATCCAGAGGCTGTGCAGCTTGAGTTGTTTGACCCAAGGAGTTGGAGTAATTAAAAACCTCAGGCAGAAAGAGAGTGGCAGCTAAATGTTTAAAATGTGCTGGAACTTTTAGAAGGTTTAAAGGAAGTTATTTTGGTTGGCGGAAAATTTTGCCAAAGCACAACTACTTTTTTGTTGTTTTGGTAATTTATTCCCATCAGGAGATTGCAGCAGGAAATACTCACTTTGGAGTCAATAAGTTGTGTTTATCATGCCAGTACAAGTTTGTCATGTGCAGTGCAGTCCTGCCATTTCCAGCTGGGAATGCTTTTGGCAGAGCTCAGGCTGCTTTAGTGATGCCATCTGAAGAGGCACTTAGGGTTTTACCTTTGATCACTTCTCTACTTTTGCAATCATCACGTTGGGGAAATAGAGGGGGCACAGGTGGGCAGGGGTGAGGAGCTTTGGGTTTTGCTGCTTCTATCAGAAAAATGTGCACGTGTTGAACTGTGTCAAGTGAACATGGCTTGTCAGGTAGACAGCATTAGGTGGGTAGACTTAGGTCATTAAACATATCAGTGTATCACTCCTTTGGGTTAATATGTAAGTCTTATTGGTGAGGAGTACCCTCCATGAGATTCTGTATGTTCCTGCTTTGTTGATGTATGACTATGAACGCAAGATGTGTCCTAATCTTGATATTATTTTAAAAAATATATATATGTTGCATAAACCTTGCTAACATGCATGAATTTCATCTTGTTCTTCAAGAACGAAGAGTAGTCAGAGATGAGATCATCTCTTATTAGAAGCTGCAAATGCAAAATGCTGGTTTCCTTTGAGACTGAGATTAATAGGGCCAATTTGTGTTGAAAGCTGTTTTGTTGTTGTTTTTTAATGCTTACAAAGAACGTAATTGCCAAGAAAGCTCAACTTTCCCATCTATGTCCTGTTCCATATGTTTTCAAACTATATGGTAGAAACTCTGCACTTGTCTGCTAGAGCTGCTCAAAGAAGAAAATGACGCTGCATATCCTGAATTTGAAATTTCTTAAGGAGTACTCCCAGTCTGGAGTTTGATTTCCATATAGTGGACACCTGTAAATGTGCTTTTATGTGGATGTAAACACAGACTTGATGATATCTACACATTGCACTATCTTGAGAAGAGCTTGTGGTGTTTGGGTGTTGTCCCATGTAAGTGAGAGGTGTAAAGCTGACCCAGCAGTAGGTGAGGCACACAGCAGCCTGTTGAAAGCTACACTTCTGTCTGCAGAAACCAAGAAAACTTTGTGGCCACTCCAGTCTGAAGAGAAGAACTGTGCACTTTGAAGACAAAAAGGTGTTCTCCCAAGAGCTGGGTTCCCCTGTGGATTTCACAAGCAAGCAAACAAACCCACAAATGGCACTTTGTCCTAAAAGGCACGTGGTCTGTGAGATGCTGTGGGAGAGATCAGAAGCCCCTTTGTGTGGTGTGTCTGAATTCTCTGCTCACGTTTCCTCTGTCATTGGGTTTGGATTATTAAAACCAAAGATAGGAAGTGTTTTCCATCATGGCAGACCGAGCTGCAAGATCACTGATGGGCAGGGATTAAGTAAGCAGGCAGCAGGTGACAGCAGCTTAGGTCTGTCTGGTGAATCTAGAAATGAGCTTGGTCAGGCTTCTGAGGGCTCTTGAACAAAGGATGGATGTTCTTCCTGTGCTTTGATGAGTAAAGTAGGGAATATTCGTGCTGACTGGGTTTGACCCTATTTGATGTGCATTGGTGTATCTTATTACAAAGATCACCCAACTGTGGCTAAGGCTTTGCTTAGAAAAGGTGATACTGTGCAACCATGGATCTCTCCAACATTTGTGGGGAAATGACTGTAGTGTGATACTGGAGATAGTCAGTTTTGACTAATATTTATCTGGGAAACAGCAGGCAGCAAACACTGTAAAGGCTAAATTGGTCTTTAACAGAAAAACTATTAGCTGTGCAGTAGGAGTGTCATGTTAATATACCTTCCAGGATCAGGTATTTTTCCACCAGAACACATTTTAATTGAATCATGTGAATAGTGCTAATTAGACCATGACAATAGTTGGTGTGTTTCCAAAAAGTCAGGATCAACCTTTTGTGCAATCTGGGTGTACTGTTATCTCTGTTCTGTTAGCATTAATCATGAAGAAATGGAACTTGTTCTTTCAACCTCAGTTTAGACAAAAGGGCCTTGGAGAAGCTGCTGTTGGCACTGTTCTAAATGTTTTGATGAAGGACAGGGCCTTAAGGCTTGTGAACTAGAGTTGTGTGTCAAAATTAATTTAAAGTTGTTGAGAAGCAATTTAAATATCAATTTGGCTTCATGCCACTGGAATGGGAATGCTTAACAGCAAGTCATGGAAAAAATCTGGCAGGTTCCTTTTTCAAGAGGCTGGAAATCCATCCAGCATTCCAAACCTCCTGTCCTTGGGATCTGTGTGAAACTTTTGTGTGTGTCTTGGAATGCTCTGTATCTACTGCCCCTGTGGGAGTGGGACGTGTTATGTGGGTTTTCTTCTTGGAAATGTTACACAGGGTTGTCTGTTACATGAAAGTGTTGCAAATTTATACTTAGGTGTATTTTTACTGAAATGCCACATAAAATTTTGTATTTATGACCTGCCTGGTGTAATTTTCATTTGCTCAGTGCAGAGTTGGCTCATCTGTGTCATTAACAAAAGGTTTGGTGTTTTTTTTTAAATAATGCTGATCTTCCAATTAATCACAGAGGCTGTGATTTGTGAAGATTCCTTAACATCTTTAAAAGGAACCTGGACATCAATGAATTGCTTCCTTTTGGAGGGTTTCCCTGGAGGAACCCAGGGCTCTCAGGGGTTCAGAATGGAGCTGAGCAGAACAACATAACTGAACCCTTAAAGGCTTCACCTGCACATGAGGTAGTTCTTTCCCCTCCCTGAGAAATCCCCTGACTCTGCCGCAGCTGTGCTGACTCCCTCTGGGATTTGGAGGCCAGCAAGAAATGTACAGAGCTAAAGAGCCATCCTCAGGTTGTGGTTCACATTCCAGGCAGTGCTGCAGGAATAGGCTGTAGGGACAGCTGTGCAGAGGGAGAAGGGACAGCCAGGAACCATCCCTGGACCTCCTTGGAGCAGCTGCTGGACCTGGCACCTGGATTCCTTCTGCTCAGGTGAGTTACCTGAGCTGCCTCTCCTTGTGAATGGAGGAGCTGCAGGACCTGGGCCATTTGCCACTCCCTTTGCTTTTCTTCTTTTCTGCTGTGTTCATTTCTGGATGCCAAGTGCAAGTTGGAATGGTATCAAATGAAGCCTTGGGAGCATTTTGTTTGCTGTCTCATCAGCTCCTTGTTCTCTTTTGTGATGTGAGAATATGGAATTTTCTCCATGAAAACAGCATGTGGAATACTACAGACAAAATTGTATCAGGTTTTGATCAGGTTCAAGCAATCAGGCAAATCCAAGCTCTAGTTTTATAGGGGAAAGACTGAAGAGAACTGAAGTGGTAGAAAAGCTTCATTTTTCTATCTGGAACTGGACCAGTGGTAAGTCCCAGCTCTGGGAATGCTGCTGCCCAGTAGTGTGTGCTGTCATTCCCTTCTGCTGGGGAGGAAGTTGTGTTTTGCTTCAGTAAGTACTGTGGTGATGGCTTATTTTTAACCAAACATCTTCATTCCTCTCCCATTAGAAAAAAGCACCTAAAACTCTCTGCTTTTACTTTCAACTCATCTTTCCTGAGGAGAGAGGAAAGCTCTGTATTTAACCACACAGGGAACAAATGGGGATGTATTTATCCTAATATTTTCATTTAAATTTCCATTTTACATGGAAAGGCTGTTTTTTATGGCTCATTAGAACTACTTGGAGCCTGCTGGTATTTGAGACTTCTACATCTGTTCATCTGGATTCCAGGGCAGTGTGGGAGCTGAACCTGCACACCATGGATTTTCCTGGCACAGGCTGGGCCCGTGCCTCACGTGCTTGCAGAGGATGCAGAAAGGACAGTGGCCATTCCAAGTGTCAGTCACACATCAGGAAATGACAAGATCACCTTGATAAGGATACTTTTTATGTCTGTGTTGCTGTGGTTGTGGGGACAACAGTAACAGAGATCTTTGTAAATCTGCCCTGGATTGGTTTCATTGTACTCAGAACCATCCAGCTCCTCCCAGGAGAGTGAGTCCTCTGCTCAGTGCTCCACTCCTCTGCCATCCCAGCAGTGTCCAGACTTCCCAAAAGAGACATCCAGGGGCCTGTTCCAGCCACCTGCTGAATGGCCAAGGAGCTGTCCTCATCCCTGCAGCATGCCTTGGCTTGCACTCCCAGAGGGGAGTTGCCAGATGGCTGCTGGGGTAAAAACTCCACAAATATTTTCTGTTGGTTCTCCTGCCTGGCTTGGAGGGGACAAAATGAATTGGTTCAGCTTTGACACATGTAAGATGTATCCAAAAACACTCTAGAAAACAAGTATTTTATGACTTTATTTGGAGAAATTGTGGGGCTTTCAGAAGCCTAAGTAACTGTTTTACTTATGTAAGGTACTTGATAAAACAGCTTTGCACAACAGTCTTGAGAAATGGCAACGGCTTGTACACTAAAATGTTTGAATTCTATGCTGCAGTTAACTTCTCCAGTTAATCTTTAGTGCAGCTAACTGAAGGGAGAAAGTCCCAGCTGGGCCATCTTTCCCCTGCTGAGGTTTTTGTGTGCTGACAGGAGACTGTTGATGTTGTCTCTCTGATCCTGCAGAAGGACACAGGCCCAGGCTGGAATGCTGTGCAGAAGTCTCCCTTTCTAGCAAGTCACAGCCACCAGGACAAGCATGTTGTGGCTTTTCTCTGAAGTCTTTTTGGCCTTTGCAGGTAGTGCTCTCTGAGCCACATGGTGTGTCTCTGTTCAATAACCCTCTGTGGGGCTTTTCCTCTGGAATTGGTGATTGATCTTTCTGACCCACAGTGAAGTTTCCATTGCAGAGCCTGGCTCAGCTGAGCTCCAGGTGTGACCCCATTCTCTGTAGCTCCTGCCAAAGGAACAAGGGAGAAGGAGGAGATGAGGGAGGGGATGCTCACACCACCCTGACTCTGTTGGGGTTTTTGACGTGGACTGTGGCAGTGAGGTTTGTGTGGTTGCTTGGGCAAGCTCTTGGCTGTTCAGCCATGATGGATGCTGCTCCTTGGCTCCAGGGTTAAAGGTCAGACAGCCAAAGCCTCATTAAGCAGCCAGAGAAAATCTCACCCAGAAAAAATTCATTAAAATGAGGAGCCAATTATTTGGAGGGAAGCTGTGTGTGTTGGTGTCAGATGTGCTGGGAGACCTGGCATTAAATCTCATGTTTCCCTTAGTTTTGCTTCCCTCGTGCTGATACTGGCACCTTCCACCTCACCCCAGCTCAGCAGCTGGCCAGTGTGGGAAGTGGTGGATCCTGCTGGAGGCTCCAGTTCCAGTTGGACCCCTGAGCTCTGTGGAGCAACTCAAGGTGTGTTGGCTGCATTGCAGCAGGAATTCAGTGGCCCCAGAGGGGCTTTGGGGGGGTGGGAGTTGCACATGTGGGAGGATCCATTGAAGGTGGTACCTGAGAAACTTCACTACAGGGGAGGGAAGAGGAACTCTGAGCCCAAGTGGCAAATTAGGGCAATTAAAGTAAATCACCAATATCCTGTGAATGTGGCAGAGAAGCATCTAAGTGGAAAAATAAGTATCAGGGTATTTTGAAGAATACAGGCATTACAGAACAGGGAGAGGGGAACAGTGGTGCCACACTATTGTTGCCTCCGGAAATTTTGGCGACTTCCCAACATAAAAACCTTTTGAGTTCATTAAGGTTGAGTTCAGCTGCACATATTGGAATGTTCAGCTATCATGCAGCACTTCCTTTCTCAAGCTCCAGGATAAATACCTGTTTTTAGCACAGATGATGCAAAATTTACATAAATGCAAGCGGACATGTCCCCAGTCTTTTGCTGCAAGCACAGTGAAATGCCAAGGTTAAAGCAGTTTGCATTTGAATTGTTTCTGACACTGATATGTGACAAATGCCTCGTGGTGTAATTGTGTGTAAGTTGAGATTAATGTGCAGTCTGCAGCTGAAAAAATGAATATATACATATGATATACTCTTAATTTCCCTGTCAAACTATTACTGTAAACCCCTTTCAAACTCTGCATGTTTTTTAAAGTCTAAAACAAGGAGAAATGAAGAAATGATAATCAAGTCTATTACACTTTGGATGAGGGTTGTGTCTTTGATAAGATGATTTTATTTCTGGCCAGTGAGTGCATCTGACTCCTTAGGAATAACAGGAGCCCTCTGGGTTGTGGAGATGGAATTACCTGAAAATCAGGAGCCGTTTGCCCAAGGATGTCTGGCAGCTGGGTCTCTCTACCAACTGGCCTTGGTATCCAGGATTCTAATGGCAATAACTGCAATCTGACCTGTGTTAGGTGTTACCCTGAATGTACAGGCTGGGTCCTGCTTTTAGAAACCATCCTAATCAAGATTTTGCTTTTAGGGTGTCAGCAGAGTCTTTCTGCTTTCAGTCTCTTGGGTATTTTGGATGACAGAGGGGAACGTACATTCCTGTTACTGGAGCTTTAACTGCATATTTCTTTCTTTGCTTACTGATTTTCTTCCTTTTTACTGTATTTTATTCTGTTTTAGGTTGGCCTTGACCACATGAACTAAAAGATGGTGCTGAAGTCCAATATGACACAAGAAGTTGATGTATTTTTTTTTTTTGTAGACAAGTTGACTCCTGATGAGGTCCCATATTAATGATTTACAGGCAAAACTCTAGAGTTTAAAGGAGTGGGAATGAAGTAACCCAGTGAGATCTGCAGACATGTCTGGCAGGCCAGTGTGCATTGCAGATTTTGAGGAGCATGCTAGAAGCTTCCTGCCCAAGTCTGTGTACGATTATTACAGCTCTGGGGCGGATGACCAGGAAACCCTGGCAGAGAATGTGGCAGCATTCTCCAGGTAGGAGGATGATTGAAGGCTGGTGTGGGAGGCAGGGGGTGTAGGTTCTGCTTTATTGGTAGATTTAGTGGTGCAATTTTAGATTGTTCTCTGTGAACAAAACTCAATTTTTCTGCAATGTCTTTCTATTTTAGCAAAAAGACTCTCAGCTGATTTTCAGGACAACTCTCTCCCCTTTCACTCCTCCACCTAACAATTTCTGTCAAAAAGCAGTCCCTAAAATCCATTAGCACCTTTTTAGTTTTGCCTGCATTTGGACTCTTTTGTTAACAGAAATTCTCTCCAGAGTCTTTCAGCTCCAGTATTTAATCAGCCAATGAAACTTTAATTTCTACGTTTTGGGTTACAGTGCCAGGAAGGGGTTCTTGGGGGTAGCATTGTACTTTTTAGGTCCTTAGTCAGTTTTGCCTTTTCCTTAGTTCTCCTAAACTGAATTGGTGCTGTGGCCTTCCCAGATGAGAGCTGCAGGAAGGAGTTGCATTTCCCAGCCCTGGGGAAAGCCAGGGCTCAGTCCTGGGTGGCCCAGCTGTGCTCAGGGGTTTCCAGCAGGTCAGCCCTTCACCAGGAGGGTGCTGTAAATGCTGGGAACTGTTCTAAACCACTTCTGACTTAGACTGACCCTCCAAACTGTGTCAGAACCTGGGCTCAGCTCAGCCTTAGCCTCGGAAGCACAAGGTCAGCACAAAGTCAGGGGGCACTTGCTGTGCAAGTGTCACAAATGGCATCAATCAGTTGGTTCCCTGCTCCCAAATGTCCCTGAGCAGGGCAGAGGGAAGGAGGGAGCTGGAGGCTGCTCCCCTCAGCCCAGCTGAGCCCAGTCAAGCTGCTCAAACAGCTGCTGACATCTCCTTCCTTCTGGGGCTCTGTTGGTGCAGGCATTTAACCCCCTGCACTTGTCTTTGCAAAGGCTTTGTCTTTAGTTCCTCTGAGCCTAACAAAACAAACCATGACTGTCCTGGTTTATCCTTGCTCTTTCTCCCTCCCTGCTTTGCTACTCACTGCTCCAGTTGCTTTTCCACAGGCTGTGGGCCATTCAGCTGAAATCTGATGCGAGTTGAAGGTTGTAGCAGACTCTGTGATAATTCATTTAGCAGGATCTCAAAGGTCAGAACCTTAACATTAAGGACACACATAGAAAAGCTTTATAATGTCAAGAGAAGACAACTCACCTCCAGTGCTTATTCCAGACCTCCTAGCTCCATGCAGAAGCTGCCATCACAGAAACTCTCCTGCTCAAGCCAGAAGATTGCCCAGAGGAGTGAATAGGAGCAGGAGGGGAATGGAGTAGCACTCACCTGACTTTTATTGTACCTTTTTTAATGCTTCCAGATGCTCTGATGCTACTTGCCCTCATAAAAGCAAAATGAGACATTAAAGAAAGGGCTCTCCAAGGAAGCACTTGCAGACAATAAACTGCAGGAGCAGTGAGTGTTTGACTTGTAACTGCTGAAGCTGATCATGGTGAGGTGGGATCTAAAGCTGCCAGGGACAGGCTAACAAAGAGCTGGGCCCATCCCTTGCTGTGCTGGCACCAGCAGAGCAGGGAGATAAGGACAGCTCTGCTCTGAAGCTGTTCCTGCCACAGGGATGGATTCCTCTGATGAGAGACCTCCTTGCATTGGGCTGGTTGTCTGTGGGCTTCAGGCTTACCTCATCTTTCCTGAATCTTCTATCAGATTTTCAGTAAAACCCTCCAGTTTTTAGGTGTTTGCAGGTGGCCTGGGACTGAAGGAGATGTTCATTAGCAGTGCCTGAGGTATTAGAAGAAATCGGTGACATTTGGTGTCAATGGCTGCAAGTTCCTCAGTGCTGGGTCCCTGCCCTTCAGCAGAGTGGGGATGAAGGGGCTGGGAGGTGTTTGTCTTTGCTCTCCCTCCCTTTGCATTTATCTGACATAAAACAAGATCCCCTTTTCTCAGCACGTGGGATGCTGCCATGAACAGTCCTTACACCATGTTTGCAATGGCTTCCTGGGAATACATCTCTAAAAGCACCTCCTATAAAGACTTTGTAATATTTTGGTTTATAAGATGTATTTGACACAAGGGACTTTGAAGAACCCTTCTCTTCCCCTGGATGCTGTTGGGAGAAGCATGGCCCAGCTGTTAGAGATGGGGCAGTGCTGCTCACTCTGACCCTCACACAGTCCTGGTGTTCCTGCCTGTTCCTGACTGCAGCTTGTGGGTAAATATAAAGTCAGATGGACTTTACACCCCCAAGGCACAAAGATCACCAAGTCAGATGATTTTGTGAAAGACAAGAGTATGTTCAGCTTCATTTGCTATTGATTTCTCCTGTCAGGAGCTTGGTTGCAGGGTTCAGTCTGATTTAGAAAGTTTGCAGATTATTAAATATTTATAAGTTTAAATGGAAGAGAAAGCACAAAGCTGAACCAGAAGCAGCAATGGTGCAGGATTATTCAGGTGAGGTGTGAGGGTGGAAAACCAGTGCTGGGTTCATCTGTGAGTTCCTTTTCTTTTGGCAAACATGGTTTCATTTCTGGAGAAGTAAATAGATCTTAAGGACTATTATTACTATTGTTATGAAGAACTAACCCTAATGGGTGGTTGTGTTGCTGGATCCTGCAGTATCTTTAGAACACTCCATGCAGTTTTTGGAGCAGCACAATTCATACTCATTGGATTATAAAAGGAATGTCTTGGCCTTTTGACCTTGAGGCACTTTGTGTAATGAGCTCCCAGAGTCCAAACTGTCTCCACAAGGACAGTGTTTCAGATGAGTTTAACCCCAGGTACAGCAACTCTTGTGGGACTGAGGGAAGAACCAGCACTTGGATGCTGACAGCAGTGTGTTCCTGCTGAGGCCAGAAAAGTATTTTTATTCATAGTTCTCAAATGGCCCTGGCAGAAATGAGGCCAGAAAGGATGATTTGGGATGGCAGAGCATATGTCATTCCCTGTGGTGCCTGCCTGCCTTCTCCTTGGGTTTGCTCAGCATCCTGGAATGCTGAGTGTCCTCCCAGGCCTGTCTGCAGCTGAAATCCCCTCTGGAGTTGTCACAGAAGTGAGGGGCCTGGATGGAGAAGAGATTTTTGTGACAAGGTCAGGATGCCTTTAGCTGATGGCGTTCAGGAAATCAGTGTGGAGCCTCCCCTCTCAGCATGCCAGGGAGGGGGGATGTGGAGCAGGCTCCTGCTAATCCACCCTGCCATGCAATTCCTGCAGGCCTCGGGAGAAGCTGCCTTGTTCTGTTGTGTGCAAGGAGCAGCAGCTGCTGCTTCAGCAGTGCATCATCAATTCATCAATTGCATTCATCAGTGCAGGCCTTCTGCAAGCCTGCTCTTACCTTATAGCAATTAAAGGCATTGCAATGGCCACAGAGGTAATTTTAACACTGGTTAAAAAAGCAAGGCTGATGGTGGGACTGGGAAGTTCAGGGGGAGAAAAGGAAAGGAATGCTTGGAATAATAATTTACTTGTGTTGTTGTGATGTCTTTCACCTCAGATTCCCAGTGCACCACAAAAAGAGTGTGGATGGCAAAACATGCTGGGAGGGAAGATCACTTTCCCCAAGGAAAAGCAGCTGTTGCTTAGCCTGGCACAGAACCAGCCCCTGAAGGGAAGTGGAGCTGTAGGAGACAGAAGGGCAGCAAACTGGCTTGGGTTTAGGATGGAGGCTTGGCCTGAGCACTGTGTCTTTTTCCAAATGTGCTTTTTCCCCTGCAGCATGAGGGGATTTGGGACAGCCTGGGAGAGGAACAGGAGGAGCTGCTTGAAAATATGGTGCAGTTTGAAAATTTCCATGTTTTTTCCCAGCTGAAAGCAGCCAGTGCTTCTCTCTCACCCCACTGCAAGGTACTTTACACACAGAATTTTTTTTGAGCGTGGAGAAAAAAAGGAAAGAACCCAAAAGATTAATCCCCCTTCTTTCATTTTAATCCTTCCTTCCAAAGAGCTTTTAGCGGGAACTGCCTAAATTGGGAGCGCTCGCTGCCTTCCCCTCTGCAGCACCTCCTGCTTCCAGCTGGGAAGAAGGATGCACTCACTCTCACTTGCTGATTGCAGCACACCAGTGTGGACTTGGCTGGGAAAAGATGTGGGTGATGAGGAGATGATGAATTAAAAAAAAAAAAAAAAAATCCAAGTTTTTTTCCAAAATATGCAGGAAATGTTTCACTGAAGGACTTGGAGGAAGCAGATGCTGTGTGCAGCCCAGTGAATGTGCCCTGGTGATGGGGAAATGCTGCCTGTGAGCTTTCCCTGTTCAGACAACACTGGTTTCAAGTGTCAAACTCAGAGCTGGAAACACCCAAGTTTCCCAAGCAAGAGCAGGTTTTACTAAAGGGTCATGATACTCTGCTATCTTGGTGTTTTTGTGGGAGCGCTCAGTTCTGGGTCGGGAGTGCCCATCCAGCTGGATGCTGGTTGAGAGGGTGTGACCTGATCAGGGATCTCTGCTCAGGACTGCATCACTTCTCTTGCATGCACTGCTGGGAGGATTTTGGCTCCTCCTGTTTCTCTTCCCAGCCAAAAGCACCACAGGGATGCTTTACCTCAGGACTGACCCTCACAGGCTGGCTGTGAGATGGCAGAGGCAGGTACCAATCTGAGAAACCAGGAGCCTGGGGCACAGGGAGGGCTTCACATCCTTCATGCTTTTGGGTTTGACTCTATAAATCAGCAAGGTTACAAAGGGATTTTTCTTTTCTTTCTTTGCTGGGAAAAGATACCTCAGGGCAGAGTGGAAGCCTTCAGAATGAGGATTAGGAAAAAAAGGGGGAGAAAGAAGTAATGTTTTCTTTGTCCCACCCTCAGCCCATCCTCCCCTGAAAAATAACAAACTGCTACAATGGCATGAAAACAAGTGTGAGGAGATGTTCCTGCCGTGTGTGTCTTGGCACTGAGCAGCACAGCTGACTTGCACAGCCACACATCTCCTTCCAAGCATCATAACTGTCCTCCTTTTCCTCCCTGGGGAGCACTGCCTGGAGAGCTGGCACAGCTCCAGGCCTTCAGAGAGGTGGGTCTCATCCTGGCTCTGCCCCAGGCTTTTTGGGGAAGTCTCTTAATCTTTCTATAAAATAGATTTTGTCTCTTCTCCCTGAATTTTCATTTTAATGCTCAAGCTCACCTCTACTCGCTGTTGGAGGGTAGCAGTGGCTCTGGTTCTCTCTCTGTGCTGGTAATTACAACATTCTCAGTCTCGAGCATTCTGGTGCTAAGCAGTTGCTCAAGTTCAGCAGTGTTAGACCGTAAGTTTTTAATTCTTCTCTGCAATTACAGTTCAGGAGCCATGGGAGCCCTTTTGGAGGGAGGGAGGCCTCGGTGAGAGGTCGGTGCTTGCAGTGAGGCTTTGGCCTGGCTGAGCTCAGGAGAGGCAGCCCCAGGTGTGGCACCCCCTCTTGTGGCTTCTAGTGGTGGCAGTGCTGTGACGGCACCTGGGTGATGGGGAAAGTCCCATGGCACAGGTGTCCCCAGGAATGCAGCCCTCCTCATAAAACTCTGGATGTTATGGTGTCTAGTTGATCCCCTAATGGGAATCATGGTCTTCTGATGCTGTTTTGTGGGTGGGAGGAAAAAAAAGGTAAGTTTCTGTGTGTGCAGACCTGTGGTGTCCAGCCTGGCTGCAGTAAATGGTAATTTCAGGTTAAGTGTGTTTAGTTTGCTCTGGTTTGGAAAAGGGAGTTCCAAGCCTGCAGGCCATGCTTGTGTTGCCAATAATGCCATGTCTGTTGGTTCCAGAGTCCATGGAGGGATAACTGAGGGCAGCTGATGACTTTCCCCACGTGCACACAGCCTCTGGCTTTCAGGGGGCTGAGACTCACCACAATCTCATTGTTTTACAGCTCCTGTCTTTCCTTTCTAACAATACCAGCCAGAAATGTCCAGGGGCTCTCTACCTCTTTCACCCTCGCTGCTCTTGGGTCCCTCCAGGTGTTGTGCCCTGCAGGGGCTTTGCTGCAGCTCTGGGTGCCACAGTGGGATTCTGTTCCAGCCCCACTGATAGACAGCAGCACACCCTGCTCCTGTGCGTTCCCCCTGCTGCAGCCCCCTAAATTCAGTGTATTTGTGTGTGTGCCAGGTGGAAGCTGTACCCGCGGGTGCTCAGGGACGTGTCAGTGATGGACCTGTCCACCTGTGTGCTGGGGCACAGGGTCACCGTGCCCGTGTGCGTGGCCGCCACCGCCATGCAGCGCATGGCTCACCCCCTGGGAGAGACGGCGACAGCCCGAGGTGAGCGGGGAGGGACAGGGCGGCGCCTGCCCGGGCATCCCGGCTGCCTCTGGCTCCTGGGCGCTCTGAGCTGCTGCTCAGGGCTGATTCTTGCCGTTGTTTTTTTACTGTTTCACTCTTCTTGTGGTTTCCCTCTCCATGAGACGGGGCGGGGGAAATGAAGGATACAAGAGGGGAATAATTTGTTACCTATAAAATTGAAACATCTATCTAGCTATCCATACGTTCTGTGTAACTGTAAACATTGTCACAGCAACATTCTTCCTATTAGAGAATTGACTCCGGAAATTCTGAGGCCTTGGTTTGCCTGGCAAGAATCCTTGCGTGGAAGAGAGCTCTTTGAGAGCATCCCAGGGAGGCAGTGAGATAAGGGCCCCTCTGGGCTGGAAGCTGCACAAAGATGTTGCCAGCACAGAGGCTGCTGCTCAAAAGGATATTAATAAGAATTCAGATGGGCAACTGTCTCCTGCTCCTTTAACTCTGGCTGCAGAATGGCACTGAGGAAGAGGGTGGGCTGTGCATTTCAGTGCTCCCATGCTGAAAGGAAAAGGGTACAAAGCCTAAATAGGTGATATTTAAAAAACCAATAATCCTGTGCGTGGCTGGGTTATTCTCTGGCAGCGTGTCCATGCCCAGTGCAGCAGATCTGTGTGAAGTGAGCGGAGTTCTGAGCCCTGCAGTGGGAGCTGCTCTCAGTTCTCATCGCTGTGATGTGCACGGGGTGGGCTGCAGCGCTATCTGTGAGAAGCACACCTCTCCTATTTCACAGCACGGCTGGGGCCGCGCTTTCCCCCTCCCAGCAGCGTTACTGGGAGTCGCTGCCGTTTTCCCTGTTTGTAAGTGCCGGCTGCTCCACGCGATGGCACTGCAGCACCTCGGATCGCTCTGGGACGGCCGCCCTGCTTCTGCCCATCCTTTGGCAGCTCCCGCGGATCCCTTCTGGGCCAGCTCCTGCAGGGAGGAAACTCTGAAACATTGAGTGCAAACATTTAATGCAACGGTGAGAGCGAGATTTGGAACACAACATTCCGGATGTTTCTTAGCAAAGATTCCCACTGATGCTGCAGCCCGGCCACATTTTAAGCATAAATCCTCAATGGCATGCAAAGTTGAGTGGTGCAATAAGGCTGGGTACCACATTTGCAAACTTTAACACATGATTATTGCATTTAATGTTCCTGGGTTTCCAAGCTGGCACAGCTCAGTGTACTGTCACCACCAAAAGTTGGAATATGTGGTCCAGTAAACTTATCTATTGGAGCTGGTGAATTTTTCATTGTTTTCAATGGATGAGCAGTATTAAAATCACATCTTCTGTATTGCATTGGCATTTGGAGGAGAAAAAAAATGGCTTTGGTTTTGTGCTGTTAGAGGAGGAGAAGGGCACTCGGTGCTTTTGGTTTGACCTTATGAGATGACAGAAATCAGCAGTAAAGTACACATTTGCTTTAAGGGTTCTCTTAAACTTGGGACACTCGGGATCAGGGGGTTTGCCACATCCAAATTCTGTTCCAGACGTAGCACAGGGTTTAAGTGAGCAAACTTTTGGTTGCTTTAATTCAGCTTCTGCTTCAGCTGCGTGGGTTTGCACAAGCCAAGGAAGCCTGATCCATAGTCTTGTGGCTCCTGCCAAGCCTGGCATGCTCGATAAGCCTGGCTTTTCTTGGCTCAGGTGTGCAGGACGTGCTGTTTGGGGTGGTGCCTCTGCTGTGGCCGTGGTCCTTGAGAGGCACAGCATGGCCTGAGTCCTGTCCCTTCCCAGGCAGTGCCCTGGCTCCTGTTGGGGCACAGCAGCTCCCACGGAGCCTCCCTGTGTGCCACCAGTCTGCCTTGAGCCCCAGGGATAATCCTGGTTCTCACCAGACTGCCCTGCAGAGCAGGGAGGTGAAGAGAGCAGTGGCAGCTCCTTCCCTGAGCATTGAGAACAACGCTTGAGGAATTTCCTGGAGTGATGGGAGTTGTCTTGCTTGGAGCTGCTCCGCTCTCCCGGCAGGTTTGGCCATGTGCTCTAGGGTAAATGTCCCCTCTGGGGACAAGGCCATGTCATGGTGTCCCTCAGAACTCCCTGCCCTCACAACCTCTTGCTCTGGGGCTTGTCAGGGCCTGGGGGCTTCTGCTTCCTGAGGGATGCTATCCCGGAGCAGCCAAGCTGGTGGAAAGGGGTGTGCACCTTCCCAGAGCAGGGCAGGGCCTGTCAGCTCACCTGAAACACCCTTCATGGGCAGTTCTTTTGTGTGAATAAAGAATCTGTTCTAGGGAAAACAGCCAGTTGTCATTTTAGGAGATGCTGGTGACAGGCCAGCCAACACAATGTAAGTGATTCCAAAGCTTAGGTGAGCCCACTCTGAGCACAATAAACTGCAGTCATGGTCAAACCTTGCACAGCCTCAAATCCAGGTGTTGCATTTACATGCACTCCCATTAGCTAGACTTTAAAGTAATAAATGAATTTTTAAAAATGTCTATGCAGGCTGGAATAAGGTTGCTCCTCAGTTTTCTCTGACATTTGTCTGAATGTAGCAGGAGTCTTTCCTTACAGAGAAAGCTCTCTTGTCCTTGAAACAATTTCATGCACCTTGGCAGTTGTCCCAGTTTTTCTAGGTCTTCCTTCAAGTATATTCCCTGGCATTTTAGTTGTAGTTCATCAGTGTATGTGGCAATTTTCCAAAGAATGGATTTTCTGTTCGGTAGAGACTGAAAAATTGGGAGGAAAATTGTTTTGGATTAACTGAAATGTTTCATTTGATCCAAAACATAATGTTTTATTTCATTTTCCTACTGGCTAATGCTCTTAGCTATAGTTCTGTTTTGAAACAAAAGTGTCAGCTCAGGAGAAAACATTTCCATTTTGAAAAGATCAACACATGACATTTTGACTTAGGTGTTTTTTTCTCATCCTTCCCACTCCAATTTCAACCTCTTTGACTAAAAATATTTGCCAAATTCAATGAATAATCTTAGCCACTAAAGAGCAAAAGGTTGCTCTCTAAACACTTTTCAATGGAACCCTTCTGATTCTATGGGATCTTTTTCCTCTTGCTTGTCCATCAGCAGATTCCCTGTTCCTCCAAGCCAAGTCATTCCTTTGCCACCCTGACTTCATGCTGTGCTTGCAAACCAACGTGACCCCCGTGTCAATGGGACCCACCTCGAGTACCCTGACTCAAAATCCAAAATCCTGAGCACCATCCAGCTGCTCAGCAAGAAATAGCTGAGCTGTTTTGCAACCTTAATTGATTATGAACAGATCTGTAGCATTATTTTATTGAGATTTGTGTTTATATTCCTGCTCATTCCATATTGCACTTAATGGGTGGTTTAAATTCCTGTTTTCACCTTACAGCAGCATTGCGGTGCCTGGCTTCTCCATGAATGGCAGAAAATCAGGCTGAGAACCCGACTGTGCTCTTGGCCAGGTATTTTGGGAGCTGTCACTGACAGTGCTCAGGCTGGAGTTTCTGTATTTGCCCTGTGCAGCTGCACTCCTGCCCCTCTCCAGGCTGCTGCTGAGGCAGGAGGGGTTTCACCATCACCTGCAACGTGACTGCACTATTTTCTCTGCCAGAGCACAGGAGTGCTGACTGCAGAGCTGTTCTACTCTCCCTGCTTTACAGAGTTTCTGGCAGCTCTGTCATTCCCACTGGAGAGGGAGCAACACCTTTATTCATTCAGCTCTTAACAGGTTGCTGCTGTGCTTTTCTCTCTCTGATGCTGAGCACTGAAATTTGGGTTTCCTCTGCCCATCCGACATGGCTGTGACTGGGAAGGAGGGATTTGGCCATTTATTACATTTTGTGCTCAGCCACAGTGAAAGCAGCAGGACTTTGTACCCACCTGTTACCTGTGTGGTGATCAAAATGTGAGGTTGATTTTGAGATACAAAAATTAATGTCACTCCAGAGCCATGGAGAGGACAATATTCCTGTGGGACAGCATGGCCTGGGCTGGCCTGGCCTGGATTGCCCTCAAGAGTGGCATGGCTGGGGGACTCAGTGCTGTGAGTGTGCCCAGGCAGCCTGGCATGGCAGGCAGATCCCAGATCTCTTTTGGCCACGTGTCCCTTTCCCTCCAGCCCTCTTGTGCAGCTGACAGAATGTGTTGTGTCAATGGGAGGATGGCAGGCACTGCTCTCACACAGGGTTTGGGAAGGGCTGAGGGAGGAGAGCCTGGCAGGGATCTGAGCTGCCCACAGGGACAAATTCCACACCCTTCCCAAACCAGGGAAGGAAGTGATGCCCCACCAGATAGGAGGAGGATGCTCTGAGGCTTCACGATGGAAAAAGGGCTAAAAAAGGTCACTGCTGTGTTCCCCAGTGGGGCTCCCAAGTGCATCCTGTCCTGTTTGTTGCTGTGTAAAACACCTCAATTGAGTTTTCCAGAGTGAATGGCTTCCAAGTGCCAGAGGGCAGGTTTGGATTGGGGGTTAGGAAGAGATTCTTCACCTTTCTGTGATCCCATGGACTTCCTCAGCTCCCTGTGTGTGGCTCCTGCTGTGCTCTCTGTGCTGTCACAGAGCCCAACAGGAGCCTGCAGGGTGTGTAAGGGTGAATGTGTCCTTTGGGCAAGGCTCAGGAGTAAAAGAAGACCTGGGGAAAAAAAAACCAACATAAAAAACAAGCAACTAAAAGCAATCATGCAATGGCATGAGGAAAGGCTGGTTTACAAAAACATCTCATGCTTAAACTCTGGCAAATGTCACATATTGCAGCAAGAGCATCCTGTGGGAATATGGCTGTAGTAGGACTGATTTGAAATAATAAATAATTTGCAGCACCCCAAAAGTGAAGTGTAAAATATGGTTGTTAGAAGAAATGAGTTGCTTCAGTTTTCTTCAACTGCAGCTAAATATGTGAGAAGTTGGAGTGTATTTTTAGAGAAACCTAATTTGAGGTAGAAAAAAAACCCAAGCAAACCTGGCAGCGCTTCAGGCCTCTGTATCTCATGGTTTTAGAAGTCTAGAAAATTGTCAAAATAAGCTTTAAAATGATCAAGATCAAGCACAGATTGACCAAAACTGGAACTGGGGATTTCTAAAACCTTGAAAAATTTTATCTGTGAACTTTGGATTTGCCTGAGAGATCTAAACTGTGTGTGTTGAGCTGGTGCTTCACCAGAGAGCTGTGAACTTTGCAGGAGAGACGAGGGGAATTTTGTGAGCATGCTTGCATGAAAATGCCATAACCCTGTTTGGGATGGCTGAACTCTCATTGAACCAAACTGCTTAAATCTCATCTTAAATAAGAGAAAAGCACTATTTTCCCTGTTGCTACATGGGCAGCTAAGTTGAAAGGATATGGTGATATCTCATGACTTATATCTTCTCTTCACCAAAAATGTTTTATTGTGCAGTTTCTAACTAAATTTTTGCTTTGGCAATAGAGGTAGAGTTGGGAATAAAGAGGAAAAATGGAGATAAATGGATACCCAAAGGCAGATTGAACCATAACATTTACATTTCTCCCTTATCTGATGTGAGGGTTTTGCAATTCCTGGGTTTGCAGCAGTCCCAGTACAGAGGGAATTGTGTCCAGCAGTTTAAAGGAGAGGAACAGGATGGTTACAAACTGGAGAGGTTTGGGTGATTGCTGCTGGATTTCCAGTGAGGGAAAACTGGCTGGTGGCCCTGGGAGGGTGTAACCAATTTGTTTGAATAAGCTGTTCATAAGTTTCCACTCCAAGAGGCTTGTAATCCTTATTTAATAAAATGTTGTCATAAAGACCACTTTTTAATTCCTCCATGGGCTGGGGATGACGTCTTGAAACAGAGGTCCATTTACATTAAAAATATGCATACTGTGGTAGACCAAGGAAAACAAAGCTTTCTATAATATTTCTGAGTGTTACGGCGTGTTTTCCCTTTATTTTACTATAAGTGACAGATTACTCCAAAAAGAATGAGTGACAGATTCAGGAAAACTTATCTGTGTGAGGTTGGCTGGTGCAGGCTGGGCTGGCAGCCTGTCATGGTTTGACGCTGGCACAATCTCGGGGGTTTGCAGTTTATTGCAGCCTTTGAAAAGTCTGTTTCGGCCCACACGTTCAAAGAATGAGTCGGAGTTCTTCAGTTTTCAGTCTCAGAGTTGTTTATTGTTCCTTATCTATAAAAATTTTTCTCCTGTCCAGCCGAGGTCCACTCAGCAGGACAGACAAGAGGCACTCTGCCAGCCCCCAGGGCGGTGTTGTCTCTTTATACTACAAACTACGTGTACAATGTGTACAATTACTTTCCAGTACCTATCACCTATGTTAGACAGCGAGCTTCTATTCTAAACCAATCCCTAACATCACAGCAGGAGATGGAGGTAGAGAAGAAGAAGAAGAAAGGCTGGACATGCCCAAGTCCCTCTATCTTGTCCCCAAAACCCCTAGTCTGAAAACCCCAAAATATACTTTTTCACCTAGTGATAATTTTATTATTACCCTACTTCAACTTCTGTGGCTTTCATGTCTTCGTACAAAGCTGGTAATTTGCTCCATGGGTCATAATCAAACCCCCAGCTGTTCTGGGCTGTGTGCCAGGGTCTCTGAGCCCCCTGGCAGGGGTCTTGGCAGCTCTGGACACCCAGAGGGCTGTACTGAGTTCTGACAGCACAATGCCAGTGCCCCCATGAAAATATATGCTCCCTGGTGTCTGCTGCGAGATGTGAGCAGGAATAGAGTTAGCGGGCTCCAACTTAGGAATAAGCATCCCAAAAAACTCACTTCCGCCTGTGTGGAGGGCGATTTTTGGGAGGCAGCGTGGCAGCATCCACCAAGCTGTAAGCCTTAAATGCATTTATTTGAAGGCTCCTGTTCAGAGACTGTCACCTTGTGTTCCCGCAGCCTGCCAGGCCGTGGGCACGGGGATGATGCTGAGCTCCTGGGCCACGTCGTCCCTGGAGGAGGTGGCGGCGGCGGCGCCGGCCGGGCTGCGCTGGCTGCAGCTGTACGCGTACAAGGAGCGGCGGGTGACGGCGGCGCTGGTGCGGCGCGCCGAGAGCGCCGGCTACCGCGGCATCTTCCTCACCGTGGACACGCCGTACCTCGGCCGCCGCCGCGCCGACGTGCGCAACAGGTTCCAGCTGCCCCCGCACCTCAGGTACCGCCAATGCTGCTGCTGCTGCTGCTGCCGGGCGGGGTGCTGGGGGAGAAGGTGGGGCTGGGAACGGCTCTGTGGGGCTGTGCGTGTGTCTGCTTGGGCTGCGATCTGCTCTGGGGCACAACAAAGCTTTCCTGCTTCTTGGCACGCTAAAAGATGCTTTGCCAGGTGGGCTGCTGAAGTAAGAGACATGGGGCATTTCTTTATGCATGGATCAATGTGTTCTTGGCTATCTTCGAACTTCAGCTAGGCAGAGCCTGGAATGACCTGCTCTGATGTTGAACTGGGATCCACCAGCAGAATTGGCTGGGCTCCAAAAGTGGGCCAAAACTCCCTTCCAAGAAATGTTATGGTTCTCTCTGTGTTGTCCAAGGACACTGCTCTGGGTCCAGGGCCATGGTGCTACCGACTGCAGAGCCTCTTTTTGAGCAACTTCGGCTTTTCTTTTACTCCAATACAGAAACATATGGGTATCAGTCTTTCTAAATTCTCCATAAGGTCAATTTTTACCCCACAGTATGTTTTGGGACATTTTCTGTGTCTCAGAATTTGTGGCATCATGATTGACTTCAGCACTAATTCTAGTTCTTCCCCACTGCAGGGCCAATGAGGAATTCAATTTTAACAGAGTTAAACCATAATTTTAACCTTACAGTGGTGTTTAAGGATGCTGATTTGTCTGGCCTTTTGTAAATGCGAACTGATAGACTGTAGAGACTCCCCTGATGACATATGCTGAAGTGCTGGCACAGTTCTAGCAGCCAAGGACTGGCTGGAAGAATATTTACTCAATGGGATATCCAGGACTAACGTGCAAATGTATCACACTGGTACGTGTGTGCCCTACGTTGTAATTGTGCTAGAGATCTGTGTTTGACACATGATCAATATACACTGACCTTTTACTCTAAAAGATAAAATTAGGCAATTATGAAAATAGCTTGCTTTTTAGGGGCAGTAGATTTTTAAGGCCTGGGGTTGAGGAGTTCTTGAATGTGAGTCCAACAACCCAAAGACATTTGAGGAAAGCGGGAGAGCGTTTCTGAAGCACTTTGACCCCACCCCAAATATATTTGTTAGATTTGCCCAAATATAACAAGGTTTTGAGTGAACAGGATGAAATCATGAGAAATTGGAGTAATCCTTAAAGGTTCCAATTCATCACTGCAGATCCCTGAGTGCTGCCTGGGCAGAGCTTTGTTGCAGAGGCCATGGTGAAACTCTCCTAGCGCGGGGCTCTGCTCATTTATGTGATAACTTTTTCTTGGCTTCGGGTTTTCAACAAAGTTTCAAAGCAACAACAAGGTGCCATTGTGCTCTGAAATGTATGTAAGGCAACATTCATCCAAGTGTTGATCTGCATTTTGCGGGCCAAGAAAAACAACAGTTATTTATATAATCTTATCCATGGTTCTGTTTTTCTCTGGGCACCCCACCCTCCACAAACCAACAGCTGAAAAGCTGGATCTTGCTGAGAGCCCGCTCCTTTCTCGTTTGCTTCTGGGCCTGGAGCTGAACAGAAAAGCCATGTGAAATGCTGCTTGTTGCAGGCATGAAATCAGCAGTGAAACCAGCCAGGTTCCATGCAAAAACACTCATGCACTTCCCAAAATGTGAAATATGAGTATTAAATAGCCCAATATGGAACAGGACACAGTTTGAGAAGAGCAGGGTAACTGGGACATGGATGTGCTAGAACCTGGGAGATTTTGTTGCTGAAAAACCCAAGTAACAGCCATGTTTTCACATGAGCTTCCTTTCCTCTCTACCTTTTACAAGGAAATGTACAAAAGGGATGCAAGGTAGACAGGCTGGCTGTTGGCCTTATTGGATAGATGAAAATTCTGAATTCTTTGCAAAGCTTCATGGACATCCCTCTGTTTCATGCAGCATAAGAAAACTTTATTTCCTCCCTGATCCCCTCTTCCTCTCATAGCTGAATTCCCTGGACTTGAAAAACAAAACCCAGCCCTATTTATTTTGCTATAGAAGTCAGACTATTACCTTGGGCCAGAGAAACTTGCCCCAAAGTTATCACAAAACCATCACAGAAAGATAGAAAGGCTTGGGTTGGACAGGACATTAAAGATCCAGTGCTTGTGTTGATTATCAAATGCTTTGTCAGCCAAAGGTTTTGGCTCACTGAGGAGTGGGATCTGACGTGCTGGGACTGGCTGGTTTTGCTCCTGCCCTGCAGTGCAGCAAAGCTTTACCTCAGGCATCCTGAGTGCTGCCTTTAGGGACCCATGGTGACTGCAGAGAATCCTCCTCAGACTTTTTCTGTGTCTTCTGTCGCTTTTTAGCCTCAAGAACTTCTCGAGCAGCGAGCTGGCCTTTTCCTCAGGGAAGGACTTTGGCGAGGACAGCGGGCTGGCCGTGTACGTTGCCGAGGCCATCGATGCCACCGTCAGCTGGGAGGACGTCAAGTGGCTGCGGGGGCTGACCTCGCTGCCCATCGTGCTGAAGGGGATCCTCAGGGGTGGGTAGCCCTGCTGCTTCCTGGGACAGGGCAAGGGGAGGGCTGTCACCTCCTCCTGCACCCTCAGGAACCCACCAGGGAAGGTGTTTGTGGGAGCAGCTGCTCAAAGAAGTGCCTGGTGTTGTCACCAACGCCACCATTAATACCATCATGCCAGTGATTTTGCAGTGGACAAAATCATTCAGCAAAGGAATTTCTTACTGATGAGTTCTGGAGCATAATAGAGAAAATAAGGGCTAGCAACCAAGGTGGCTGCTGATCTAAAGGGATAAAATATCCTGCTCCAACATTTCAAGCTACTTTTCTGGTCTTATTACTTAAAGACAAAACCTTTTTCTGTGTTGAGGCGAGGCTTTGGAAGGCTGAAGCCCTAAGGTGGCTTTGCATGAGCTGACAATGGTTTTTTAGTGATTTCTTGATTGTGGTGTCTACAAGCTCCCACTGATGGAGGAACACATCTTGTCTGGGATTTTTCCTAGCTGATGATGCCAAAGAAGCTGTAAAGCTTGGGGTAAACGGGATCCTGGTGTCAAATCACGGAGCACGACAGCTTGATGGGGTCCCTGCTACTGTGAGTGCTGATGCCAATATGCTCCAGTAATCTCTAATTTTCTCTGCCTTTTCACTTTTTGTTTGCTTTCTCTGAACATGTGGAAGCTGGAGGAAAAACCTGGAATAAGTGTTCTATGCCATAAGTAATAACCTCTCTCCACTTCTCTATGTATGTCACATCGTACTCTGAGTTAGACACAGCCTTTCCTTGGTACATCAAATTGGAAAATCTTTCAGATTTTTTTTTCACTTTCCTCTTCCACATCTTCTTTCTCATTCTTTTTTGAAAAACCCTCATTGCTATTTGCAGCACACTGAAGGTTGTATTAGGGTTGTTTTTCCTCTTTTAATATTCTTTGGAGGCTTCTGAAAAATTGCAGTTAAGAAACAGCTAAAGGCAGAATGAAACTCTCAATTTTTCTCCTTTCAAGTATTTTCACCTTTGGAAAAGGGAGAGAGTGGTTAAATTACAGTTTTTCCTTTTTCCTTTTCCTTGTCGTGCTACCCCATGACTTTTCCAAAGGTGAAAGGGATTTGAGAATTTCTCCGTCGGCAAAAAAGAAAGAAGTAAAGGAAAATGAAAAAGTATGTGCTCAGGATGAAGGAAAAACCCCAAAATTCCAGTCATCACTCATCTTGCTTCATTTGGTGTGGGAAAGCTGCACAAATAAAAAGAGAATGAAAGGGAGGGGAATCAAAGCCCAGTTGTGCCTCTCTGAGTATTTCCAATATGTTCTCGATGAAAAACCTCCTTTTTTCCATGCTGGTTCCCTGAAGGGAGAAGGGGAACAGGTCCTCTTGTCACCTCCTGGGAATCCATTCCCCAAGGTCACTGAGAGCATTTGAAACTCTTGGGCAAGCCTGTGTGTGAGGTAATCCAACAGCAACAATGTATAAGGTTGTTAAAAACATAATTTTGAGGAACCCGTGAGAGCTCAAGAAATACAAATTAATTTTTGACAGCCGCAGCAGAAGAGAAATTTGCAAACTCCTCGTCAGGAGTTACTCCTTTGCCACACCACAGGGCAGAGGAGAACTGCTAAAACTGATGTGTTCCCTGGATTTCTGGTACAAAGAACACTGCTCCACAATGCCTGTTTTTATAAAGAATCTGTATCGGGTCATGTTAAATGGTTCTGATTTAGAAACATAATAATTTGCTTCAGTTTCGTGGGGTTTCAGATCGTGAGCTGAACCCAAGCTGGTCAATATTTCTAGTGTCTAGTTACACATTGAGGAAATCTATGTTTTAATTATGGTTTGCATCATGCTTTAGTTATTAGAGCACTTTAATGTTGGTACGGTTTGTCAGGATGTAGAAAGTGGTCTCTGGATGTGGAAATAGATCCAAAATATGTCTGGCAAGGGAGCAAAACCAAAGGGAGGGGGAAAATCACAGCAAGTGCCAAACTTCAAGAAAATTTTAATCCAAATCTAAAAACAAAGTGCACTTTCAAGTTTTTTTCCCCCCATCTTCTAGTCATTTTTATCCATTAGAAAGGAAATGAATTACATCCGTATTTGAAAGATGTGAATTTGTGTGTCTTTTGTCTTACTTCCACACACTGTTTCCAGTCTCCTTAATACTTGGCTTCTGGTGGTGTTCCTTTCCTGATTTTCATGAATAGGAACTATTTAGGTGGCCTTGTAGGAAAATTTGCCCTGTAATTAATGCTCCAGGCTTGAATTCAGGAGGCTCATCCTTTCTTTGGGACCTCTTGCACGGCAAGTGGAATTACTTAATTCCCTGGTTACACACTTGTAACCTGAGAACAGTAAAAATATTTCCCCCCTTACTTGTGTCACTGGTGTAAGGGATAAGCTGAGAAAGGGGATGAACAGAGCTCAGTGAAAACAGCATACATGTGCATTAAAAGAAATTACTTCCCACCTTGCTCAAAACTCAGAGGAAAGTTAATTTTTTCTTATATCAAGAAATTTTTCTCTGTAGTCATTCCTGTAATTAGATGCATTTTCAAAAGGGAAAATGCATTGATTAAATTTTTTCAGCCAACTCTAAGTTCTTCCAGGCATGTGTTTCTCTCACTCCTTGTCTGTAGGTACAGTGCCTGCCTCTGGGCTCCTGAGCTGGCCCTCAGGATAAATGAATGGGAAATTTAAACAGGGAGCAAAGATGATTATTTAAAAAGTGAGCTGATCCAATTTCATCCCCAAGCTAGTGAAGACTGGAAGTTTGGGAGGTAACACTGCCAAAAGGCTTCCTTAGTTCTGCTGTTTTGTATATTCTGCATAAGAATCAGATACTGGCTTGTGTCAGATTTGTGTCATGGGGTCAGATGGCCACTTTGTGAGAGCCTGCTGATTCTCATTCTGTTTATGTGACTCTCCAAATAAATCTGACCTTTGTATGTACCTTCTACCCTGAAAGTCACTGCTGGTTCTCAATACAAAGCTGTGTTATTTGGGTGTGTATTTAGGCATGCAACTGCTCATTAAGCTGCTGTAAAGCTTGGATCCTGTGTGTAAGAACTGGCTCAAAAAATAAATAGAGTTTCAGGAGCAGCCAAGCTGTGTTCCTGGTTTCTCTCTCCTAGATTGATGTCTTGCCTGAAATCGTGGAGGCTGTGGAGGGGAAGGTGGAGGTGTTCCTGGATGGAGGAGTGAGAAAAGGCACGGACGTTCTCAAGGCCCTGGCTCTTGGTGCCAAAGCTGTTTTTGTTGGGAGACCTGTCCTCTGGGGACTGGCTTATCAGGTAAGTGAGGGAGAGCCCAAGTGCATTACTCACATCCCTGGACTCACTGTTTAGCCCTGTTAAATGCACATGCATGTGTCTGTGTGCACAGAGGAGTGTGTGTGTGTGATGTATCTGTGTGCATCCAGATCACCTGATTTGCTGTTGGCTAAAATTTGCTATGACCAACCCTCAGGATTTATGTTTGTGCAGAAAACCTTTCTTGGCACACGTATACATGTCTGTGCCTACACACATAAATGTACACATAATAGTTCTCATTGTCTCCTAATCTCCCAGGGTGAAGAAGGAGCAAAAGAAGTTCTCCAGATGCTGAAGGAAGAGTTTCGCCTGGCAATGGCACTGACAGGTGGGACATTGCCATTTCCTCTCTGAAATTACATTTTCTCAGAGCTTTCATTTGCCCCAGGCAAGGTGCTATAGCAACTTGCATGAGGGGAATGTTTGCAATCTAAACAGGTTAGTCTGTGGAGAAATGGGAAAAAGACTTGTTATCCCTGCCTTATAAATGGGGAACTGAGTAGATTAGGTGAAAACATTATTTTGTGAGGTTTTTTTTTCACAAGGAGAGCAATAAATCCATAGAAAAGTAGTGGCAAATCTTTGGTTGCTGAGGGGTGGATTTCATCTGACAGAATGGAGATTTTTATGAGGCAGACAAAGAAAAGGCTTAGAGTGGGTTGGAAAATCAGGGGCTTGAACTGATCTGCAACTTCTCCTCCAGGATGCCGGAGAGTAGAAGAAATTGACAGGACACTGATCCGAAGACATCAAGTATTGTTTTCCAAGATTTAGGTCTGGAGACTCTTGCCTTGTGCATTGCCTGTTGTGCTTCCAGACAAAATCCAACTGCATTCCCTCTGTGGGCCTCCTCCTGCAATCCTGACTGAGGGAATGCTCTGCTCTGTAGGAAATCACTTGTTGAAGAAAGAACTCAAGGCAAATTTTACAGGTGCTTCCAAATCTCTCAGGCTCTTAAGGAAAGCTGCTGCACTGGGAGGTGTGATTAGAGATGGGCCTTTATACAAGACCAGCACAGAAACTTCGAGGTGTTTTTCAACAAATGCTGATAATTAATTTCCATGCCTGGGAGTAATTTAGCTGTTAAAGTGAAACTATAAACAGAAATGCTGAAATTTAAAATGCAAAAGATGCTTCTTGCTCACTGTTTAGAGAAACTAAACTGTAGATTGTAGAGATTAAATCTTGCTTTCCTATGAACAGAGTGTCCTTTCCCTAGTGACTTTATAAGCATCTGGGCTTGTGGCACGTAGGCTGTAGGAGCCCAGAGGACTCTTCGTTGTAAGGAACCAAAGAGCAAAGCAAAACTGGGGAAATTTGGAGAAATTCAGCTGTTTAAGTGACACAAGCCCCTCTGCAATCAGACAGCTGCTATGTACATGCATTGCATGTATGTCAGAGCCTTGGCTACTGCAAGTCCCTGTAGCCCAAACTGTGCCAGCTGCATCCACCTGGAGCTCCGAGTCCCATTTTTCACCTGGACTGATTTGCTAATAGTGGCAAGGGAAGGCTGATGCTGCCTGGGAGAGTTTGTAGAATTTGCAGCCATGTGCAAAAGGGAAACTTGAATAACTGAGGCATTAACCCATGACTTGGGAAGAGCCTAGTGGCTCTCTTGAGTTTCCATGCACCCCCTTAAGTCAGATAAATCTTGGTGTTCTTCACTCTGCTCATGAGGAGGATGCAGAGACATGCAGGATCTGTGCCTCTGTTCTATGAACAACCCAAATATCCACTGAATTCAGGAGACATTTTGCAGCTGTAAGGAATAAAGGAGGTAAGACTATACTGTTCTCATCTTGGGTAAAACCAAGGCTAGCTCTTCACCTGTCTCACCTCTCTTGCAGGTATGGCAGTTTTACAGAGAGCAGGGAAAGGCCACACAGGTTTTGAATATCTTGCTGTGAAAATTTAATGTTCATTTTTAAGGAAGACCAAAAAAGAGAAAAACCCCTTAATTTCATGGTTTCACTGACTTCACCAGCTCCACCATTTGTTTCCCATCAGCCTCATGCATTCTGACTCTCCCACTTTGCTCAGTTTGAAATATCCCTTACTGAGCTTTAGAGGCAGCTTTGTAATGAAATGATGGAATATTATAATGGGAACTAAAGCTGGGGCTGGAACTCGAAATGGGGAGAAAACCCAAAAGGCCACATGCTTGCCCTCCAGTTGTAAAATCTGTACTCTTATTTACTGCAGTATGTGGTCTGTTGTGTGAGAGTTGCATAGCAACAAAATAAAGTTTATCTGTGCAAGGAAATATGAATGTTTCTCAGAGAACAGAGAAACATAATTTCTGCTGTTTACTGCACTTATCATATCTGTTGCAATGTGGACTGTGTCAGATGTCAATTACAGACTAACTTTGGCAAGACTGTTTATTTGAGATAATATAAATGTTACTTAAAAGACAGGGGCATAATATCTTATGTTTACATGTTTAAGATCTATTTCTAAAGCTCAGAAGATGCAGTTTCCTGTCTTTGCCCCAGCCAGATTGGAGGAAAGTTCTGAAACTCTGTGGCTCAGTAGAAGTTCTGATGGTGAGGAAACTGGTTTCGTTACTTGTGCGTAATTCACCTTTTCTGGTTCCTCTGGGATAAGGGGTTTACATTGTTTTTTCCTGCCTGTTATCTGAGAATCATCTGACTGCCTTCCAGTTCAACCCTAGTATGACTAGACAAGCATTAAAAACCAAAATTAGAGCCAAATACTTAAAGGCTGTGAGACTGTTAACAGAAAGTAAATTCATTTGTCTGGTAGAATTCTCTTTTTAAAATATTCCACAGCGAAAAGAATTTCTTTTGATTTTGAGACAGCCAAACACAACTACTTCTTGAAATTATTAAATAAGAAAATAAAAGGTAGGAATTCTGTTTGGTTTGGGTTAAAAAGCAGAAAGACTGAGTGTCCTCAACCATTTTAAAAACTGAACAATGTCCAGGCTAAGAAAAAAATCTAACTCCAAATTGGCTTCATCTGGAGAAGCTGAGAGAAAATCAGAGCACACAGGTGATAGTAGATCTTTCTATGGTTTGTGAGAGTGTTTCTGAGGAGAACGTAAGTAATGTAACAAAAAACCAATACATCTCTGTGAAATATGTAAGTAGAAAATTATTTGTCTTAAGTAACAAGTGAACCCAACAAACTTTTAGGAACAATTAGTCATAGTCCTTTGATCAAGGCACAGGAGTAGAGGGGAGCAGAAATGTTTTGCATTTATGATGCTTTAGTGGAACTGCCTACCCAAATGTCAAATGACACACATGATGGGTTTAATAGTGAAATTATTTTCTGGCTTCACTTGGGCTCCATATTAAGTCACAAATACAAGGTAAAAATATCTACACAGAACAAAACCTAAAAAACCTAATAAGGGGAGAACAGTGAGTGGTATTTCAGTACCCACAAAGACAGCACTCAGCTGGTGTGCTGGGTACTGAGAAAAATCCCAACTGGTTTGGGAGGCTGGTGAATGATCAGTGACTGAATGGGGCTCTGCCACCATCTGCCAAGAGGGACCAGGAACATCCCTGGAAAAGAAGATTGCAGTTCTTAATGAGCAAATATTTATCACATGTTTTGTGAAGAGAGAAGAGACCAAAAGCAAAACCTGAGGGTATGAAAGAGGGGGATGATCCTGTGCTTTTTAGGAGAACGTGGTACTTCCCAAGAGGTTCAGATGTGAGGCAGGCTCTTGCGCGCTGGTGTTTCACGTTCAGTCCGTGTGTGGAGCTCTCTGCTGCTGGCAGTGCAGAAGTTTCCCTTTTTGGAAGCATTGCCACAAAGTTGTCTCCAGTGAGCTCCTGGAGGATTAAACCCACTGAAGAGTGTGTAGAAGAAGGCAGCACTCTCCACAGGAGATGCAGAAACTACTCAGGAGTTTTGGAGAGGCTTCAGCCCTGGTTTGGGATCTCAACAGCTCAGATCAAGACATGCATTTTTAGCACTAAGTTCTAAAGAAATCAATCTGTTTCAAAGTGGCAAGGTCAGTGAAAGAGCCTGTGATGTTTTCTGGACAGCTGACAGACCAAGGCTGGACATGCAGGGAGCAGGGTTCTCCTAAGAAAAAAACCAATATCCTTCTGGAAAAGCCCACCTCGAGCAAGTTTGGCTGTGCTGGGAACAGCTTTGCCAGGAGAATCTCAGCAGTTTAACTCAGCAGAGGAGAGCACAGAGGTGCAGGACTGTAGGCTGGCTCAGCACATGGCAGGAGTCAGCTGAGGGCTGTGAGAACATCTGACCTTTCAGATCAAACTGAGGAGGAGGTTACTGTAGCTTCAGGACAGATTTTCCTCTCTCTCTCTCTTGCCTGTCAGTCCTTTGAAGCAGAGACCTGCTGCTTTTTGAATGTTTGGAGCGTGCACACAGGGTGGAGAATCCAGTAAGTAAATAATAGGAGCCATAACTCAGTGCAGTGAAGCTGAGGAGCTGTGAAAGACGTGATCTGTTTTCTTGTGACCTCCACCTCTCGCTGTGACTCCGGGACATGTTATTGTGTTTTATTTGCTCTAGGGGCCAAGTCAAACCAATAGGTCTGGAACTGGTAAGAACTCCATGCCCATTCCCCAATTTTTCAGGTTGAGCATGAAGCTTGTCTGTCTTACTGGGAATTTCTGAACATAAATAAACAGACACTTAGAGTAACTCGCCTTGATAAATGGGCAGTGTAGGTCAGGGCCTGCTGGATATGCAGGCGACTCAAAGATGAAGCAGAGCTGGGGAAGTAGGCAGGAATGGCTCTGCTTTTCTTGGCTTCTCAAATGGTTTTCAGGCTGAAATCAAATACTTGAGTGCATGAGGAAAGCTGGCTTCTGAAGTCATGATTTTGCACTGAACCTCACTGTAAGGATATCTCTTATAAAGCTACTTTTGATGTGGAAATTTGGCTCCAAACCACACTGAAGGCCATTATAAATAACCACTTCATCACAGGACACACAGAAGTTGGCTGCCTTGAACACTCCTAGAAAGCAAGCCTAACCTTATTGAGCCATAACCTCAGCTAGTGTAAATCAGAGAAGCTCCATTGACTTCATTAGTTTACTCTGATTTACACCAGCTGTGACTGCAGCCCACATTACAGCAAGATATGTCAGCTTTTAAATTCTGTCACTGGGTGTTGAACAAAACTGGTCTTAAAACAAGACTGGCAATCCCAGATTTAGATCCTAATGAGATTCAGCATTGTAATTGTTTCACGATGCTTATATGCTCCATTTTGTTTTCATTTTTGCATTGCTTCTGTTTTTCTTATCTCCTGCCAAACAGAGGAAGAGTACCACATATGTTACATCCATAACAAAGATGTTTTGCTGCATCGAGAACACGTCCTCCAGATGCAAAATGCCTTCGTGCTGTAGCTCAGCTTCTTCCTTTGCATAGGTACATGGGTTATGTGCCAACGTAAGAACACCCCTGAGGGCAGCCCTGCGTTTCCCCAGGGCCTGGGGCTCTGCAAAGGGGCACCCAGGGGCTGTCCCAGGGGAACTTCCAAGATCTGATTCTCCCTTAGGGATTCCCAGCTCCTAAGGTGGCTCATTTCAGGTGGGCAGGATGAATTGTGCCTGAGAGCACCCTGATAGGACTGCCCTGAGAGCATCAATACTCTGTCACAGGCCTGCAGGGTGCTCAGGTAATTATCCACACTGAGTAATCAACTGGCACCTCTGTGGTGTGGAAGGCTGGGAGATGCATACAGATGCATATTCAGCCAAAGGGAAGACATCCATATAACCAGACTGACAGTGATTAATATTGGTTATTACTTTATGACAGCAGCAGCTCTAGGTTCCAGTCAAGAGCAAGGCAGCACTGTGCTCTGCAGAGATGCTTTTCTGCAGGCAGCAGTCTCTGCTCAACAGAGTCAGAAGGGTAAACTGGCAGGCAGAGGTAGAGAAAGTTTCCCTCTAAAATGGGGAAAGAAATAAACTGATTTGCCCAGTTAAGTCCCTTAACTTTCCCTTCCACTCCCTTAATTTGCTGTTCTCTCTAAGGCAGGTGACTCTGGGGTGGACAACACACACCACAAATACCCAGCAACCATGGGGAAGGTCCACAGGCAAACAGAGCAGAGGTGGTTTAGGAGAACTGAAGGGAGTGGATTTTAAACACTTTGTTTGTCATTAAAAAGGTTCCTGCAAAGCAGGTATTCACCATAAGTTTTATTTCATGTGAGGTGAGTCTCATTTTTGAGAATAGTCACCAAGACTTCAAAGGAAGGTGTGAAGACCCTTCAATAAGGTGACATGGCATAAACTCAGCTGTTACACAAATTCAGGATGGGTGTTGTGCACATCTCTAGTCTATAGTCAGCAAATTTGTTCAGCGTGTTCTGTTACCGGACCCAGACACCTAGCATGGGTGTGAGATGAACAATCTTCCTAACAGGTGAGACCTGAACGCTGATCAGAGATGGGAATTCAAACAGCTGGATCATCTTCCATATCTAGGCTTCCTTCCTCTGGGTTTGTACATATATTCTACCAAAGAGAGACATTGAAGAGTGTGCTGTGGGTCTCTCTTATAATTTTAGTGCAAATTGTCACTGGCATGTCTGCAGCCTTCCCATTAGGTAGTTAAGAGCAGCAAAAATTACTGAATTTGGTATAAATTCCTTTTGGCAAGCTTATGTCTCTACCCAAGAACCTGGAAGAACTAAAGAAGTGACCTTCATACAAGAAACTCCACTGGCAAGCTCTTTGAAAGAGTTACAAACAGAGAAATGTATTTTAGGAAAAGGGAACTTGTGCTTTCCTGAGACTGTGACCAACAGAATATATCTGCAATTAAAGAGTAAGAGCTGGCACTAATCCACCTCATTTCCTTACTGCCTGCTGGAGAGTTTGTTCCAGAGCTCCTAATGCATGGCTGCAGGACTGGGGGCTGTGGCACTGCACCTCACTGCATGCTGCATGTTTTCTGCCGTGCCCACAGCGGTGACGTCCTCGGATGGGATGGCACAGGGAACCTGGGAGGAGAAGGATGGGTGAGATTTCTGGGCAGAGCCTTTGTCCTTTGGAAAGAGTTGGACATGAAGTATGGACAGGTGTGGGTGTTGCTGGGGTGTTTTGGTGAGAAGGTAAGAGCTCATTTTGATTTTCAAGAGCCCCCTACCCAGGGTTAAAGTTGAAGTTTAGCTAGATGGGACAAGGGACCTGC